GCTAGCTGTATCATTCATCATATTCATGGTACAGACATGATAGTGTTTCTCCTTCTTTAAAGAGGGAATGCAGTGGGTTGTTAGTATGTTTAGGTTGAGGTTAGAAGATTACGATTACTTACAGGGAAAAAATCCTCAACATGTGAAAATCCTACTCTGACCTTTCACCTCGGAGAGCAGGATGGAGACTAAAGGTTTCCTTCATCTGTTGATGAAATGATAAAGTAGAAATCAGTCTTGTTTTCCAACCAGGACAGAACTGAGTTCAGGTAGACACAATACATACATAAATATATATAGCTACATGAGCATCATATCACAAGAAAAATATTGATTTTAGGTCTGACATGTTTAATAACTCTGATAACTTAAGCTTTATGTCATATATTTTCGTAATATGTATCCCAATGCGCCGTAAAACAAGAATAAATAAGTTATTAATATGATAACAACAACAAATCCTCATAAACAAAAGGCCAAACACAATAAACCTGCTGTTCTTCCATCCATTGAGACAGTTGAACTCACACTACTGCCGTCCTGTCTCACCTCACCTGTTCTTGGGCACATCTGGAAGGAGCCGAGTTTATTTACTCCATGGATGCACTGCCATCTGCTGAGCCTTCACAAGCCTACTGTAGGTAAACAGCACCATCTGCAGGACCACACAGGAGCTTGGTCCAGAAAGCAGATGATGGCTGCCCCACGCCACCACCATCGCCAGTGGTGCTTCATATGTGAGGAAACGTTGAGCAGGAGGAGTTAGTCTTTAAAATATGACAATGTAAATCAGGTTTATGCTCAGATTATTTGGTTCTGGAGTAGAAGAAGTTGTCTCTTCAAAGTCTCGCCCATATAACAAGCTTCCAATATCTTCCACTGCTCAGAGGCCAGAGGTCATAAACATATTGTTGTAGAGATTATATTATATATATATATTATAGATAGATAATCTAGCATGCATGGGGTAAACCTAGTGTGACAGAAAATAGTCCTTATTTCATTTCAAACCATCTGCACTCCTTCAAGGTCAGTGACTCTTAATTTGGATGCAGCACTTTTCAGCTGCAATTTGTTTCTCTCCACAAATATAGAAATAATATCGACCATAATAGACTTAGGCAACAGTACAGGACCTCACAGACCTAATAATGTATAAGTACAATAAGAATGCCTTTGAATTTAATCTTTTTAAGTAAAAAACAATATATTTGTGGAGGGTTGGACACCTGGTGGTTTCTTTTTTATCTCTCTAATGTCACATATATTTCCACTTAGAAATAAAGATTCACACAGACTCATTAAGGCATGAAAGGTGAGTGAAGCTGTAATGTTTCCTTTAAAAAAAAGTAATGATTTTTAAAGTAATGATAATGATTAAACTGGGATGCTAGAAGTCAGTTAGAGTTAGGTGAGCTGAGATAAAACCTTTATAAAGATGTCAAACTAAGTATTGTGCATTTATTTGGATGGTGAGGATAATTTGGCTGTTTTTATTTTGTTTTTAAAAGTAGCATAAAGGGAATTATATCTAAAATTCATTCAACAACACTGCATTTTAAATGACAATAACATAAACCTTGAATCTTTAGATAATTTAAAGCTTAAGTTTTATAACTTTTTAGTGGATAAACTGATAAAAAACAAGGCTAAAACATGTGAATCCCAGCTCCTCCTTCCAGCGTCCATGATGTCGAACTGAAGAAGCAGAAACTGTGTTTTACAGAAATCATCTTTATTTGACGTTACTTAACATTATTATTTTTTATATAACATAAGATATATGAGTGACGGTGGTGGAACTGAGAAGCAGATACAGTAGATGTATTCCTGAAATGACACCATTGCTCTCCATGCATGTCAAAAACAGATAAAACACAATCCCTCCTTCAAACCCTGACGATGGAGGGGAGCTCTGATTGTAGTGAGGAGGAGAAGATATTGGCAACACCTGAATAAAAAATAATACCAACACTGATGCCAAGGCGTCTCCGACACTGGAAATAAGCGAAGGGCCGTGAAGCTCTCCGGCTGTTTGATTGAAACACAAAAGGGTCGACCACGCAGCCACATGGATACTGTCAAACTGGACATTACATTTTAAAGCCAACAGTTACTCACTCACAGTGCTTTTTGGTTTTTTTTTTTTTATAAAACCGTCCCACATCCACGGATCTACTGGACCTGTGCAGAGGGAACATTTCTCCTCCTTTAAAGAGAAACATGCACAACGTTGAGGAGCGTAGAAAACAGGTTGGTTGCAGGGTCCAATGAGGGTTGGGAGGTTGGGAGGGGGGGGAGGATGATAAGAGTGCAAGTGGGGAGAGACAGGAAGAGTTTGGCTTCCACTTCTTCTCCATTTGCTTTCTCTCTCTCTCTCTCTCTCTTTCTGCTGGATTGTTCTTCACATCCTACATGAGATCTCCAACCAGGGGAAACCTTCATCACAGCCAGACTCTTCCTCCTGAAACACAGAGGGCAGCTGCTCTTTACAGGTTATCACTGAGGGATGAAAGGAAGCTTCTTCAGGTGGGAATAGTGGGATTATTTCCCACACATATTACAGAGATATTCCCAAAGAAAACTAAAGCTATGATATTAAAGCAAAAGGACTTTTCCTAGGAATATCCTCCCTTTAGGTTTCCTCCTTATAATATCTGCGAAACATCCCATTTATTATGTGCAATGAACCTCACCATTGTCCACGATGGAAACCAGGGATGCAGGAGAGGAAGAACACACATCCTGTGTTCGCCTGTGTCTCCTCCTCATCATCATCTTCGTCGCCACCATCGTCGTCGTCGTCGTCGTCACAGCAGGTAGATGATGTAGGAGAGGAAGACGAGGCCTACGATGGCGAAAAACATCAACATCAAAATGTCCACCATGATGGAAGCGCTGTGGAGAGGTGGACGGGTGCAGACGCGAGAAGGACACGCAGCAAGAACAGCAGCAGCAGCTCCACCGCCGGTGCGACGGGATCGGCGGAGATCGGCTGAGATCGGCGGAGATCGGCTGAGATCGGCGGAGATCGGCTGAGATCGGAAGCGTTCGGAGGACGACGGAAGAGCCGATGGGGGGGGGGCAAAACCGGAAGCGATGGTACAGGAAACTAAAGGGTTTATTTTAACCTCGTGTTTGGGCTTTCAGGTATATTTATAAACTGTTATCATTAATGAACATGAGAAATTAAACCAAAGCGTTTTATTTAAGAACAAAATTAATTTTAAATGTTGAGGAAAATACACAACCCGGAAAACACAAGTGTGACCTGACAGAATAAACCCCGGGAATAATGTTCAAAATCCTCCATTGACAGCTGATTGATCAAATATAACTTTATATTTAAATATAACACAGCACACGTTGTGTCCAGGAACTTATTACTTAATGATATTGTAGCTAATACTGAAAATATACAGATATATTTAATCTCATTTACCATTTTATGAGCTATATTTAGCTTCCACTACAATCTCCAAATAATAATACTTTGATTTATAGATTTATTTTTATAGAACCTTTAAAAATAGAAACTCAGAAGTTAATAATAACCAGGCACTGAGGCCAAATAAAGAACAAAATGGTACACGGTAGAGGGAAGACGATAATAATGAAAGAAAAGTATATATATATATAAATATATAAATACAAACAAATAAAAACATAAACAGAAAACATCACATAAAAGCAAGTCTATAAAACTCCTGAGGGGCCAAAAGAGCAGCCACCTTTACATTTAAACCTAAAGGGCCCCGCCCGTCCACAGTCTGTCTCGTCAGGGTTTAACATTTCTGCTCTGTGGCTCGGGGGCCAGTCCCAGAGGTGCTTTCAAAGGCATCCGTTCATTTGAGAGCCGTAAGAAGCTGCAAATAAAACTCACCTGTTTTGTAATCACTCATCCTGTAATACATGTTTGCCTTCTTTTGTAGTTTATTGTTTTTCTTATTGTGTGACTTTTGGTTTAAGCCAGAGAGGAGGGAGTTACAGTAATCTAATCTGGATTAAAGATATTTTTCCAGTTAATTAACACTTGTCTTAAACAGTTCCAACAATAACTTTACATTATAACCTTCATGAAGGCGGATCTATATCTCTACTGTTGTATTAGACTGCGTTAGCTTTAGCTGGGTGTCCCTAATGAAGTGGTGTAAATAAAATACATTCCTTTTAGCTGTCTTCAATCAAAGCAGCCAGAAAGAAAACATTCCCCTGGTGTTATTCTTCAAGTGACTAAGATCTTGTATGAATACATGGACAATGGAAATGTCTCACAGGATACAGAGACTAACTTACAGATGTGTCTGAAACAAGGTTTAATAACCAGCGACTGCTCTGGCACCCCAAAAGCCCCACGTTCACTGTTCACTATTAGTTTTAATTTAATCAACTGCAATTTTTGTCAGAGAAGTTGTACCACTAAATAAATACAATATTAGTTGAGAAATGTCTTGTAATAGGTCATATTATGTGTTTTGTCCTCGTCTTTGCACAGGGCCTCTTTTATTTCAGTCTATATTGATCACATGCTGCATATTCCTTAATAAATTTGTCTTAAATGAACAAAAACTGACTGAAAGACTAGTAGTGAATAGTCTGGTAGCATAGTATTATTTCAGCACAAGTGTATTTGTTTTATGGATGGAGAGTATAAACTGCAGCTGAAGATCAAAGGGGTACTTTTGGAGAGGGAGAAAGGGGCTTTACTGTACATTTTTTCCCTGAGATCCCCTAAAATGTTTCCCCCCCAGATGCCTCCATGTTTTAAAGGACACCATCAAGTGTAACTAGGATGCCCTTCCAGTGGAGAAACCTGGTAAAGTGCCCTCTAGGGTGGTAATCCTAACCCTGGCTAAACTCTTTCACCATAAATGAATCACAACTTTAAGTGCGCTGTTTTTTTTATTGCCCCTCAAACAGTCTGGGTCCGCCACTGGATCCGGTCCACGGTCTGAAGGACCTGCGGCACAACAACATAAGACGCAGCACAAAACAAACAGTCTGAGAAAAAATGACATTTTATTGAATCTGCAGAATCATAAGTACAATTTGAAGTGCTGTAACAGGGCAACAGGAGATGATATCAGGTCCTTAATTCTGAGTATGTATTCAGAATGAGCTTTGAATACACGTGTATGTCAATATGCATATGGTATCTTTATTATTTTTTTATTTAAAAAATAACAAAATTATATCAAAAACAAAAACAAATTTTTTAAAGATGGAATGCACAAAACCGGTCTGAATGCTAAACCCGATTGTGGATTACATGATTTCACTCTGCAAAGTCTACAGTATATAACCAGTATCATAGAAGCAGGGAATGATTCATCAGAAGCGCAGGAGCCTAACGATGATGATGAAGGCTGAAGGAAAAGAGGGGATCTCAGCAGACTGGCGGACAGGATACGAGACAGAAACTGAATGGAAACGAGGGGGGGGGGGTTATGATATGAGGTTACGGTTCAGTAGATGAGTGATGCCAGAAGAGCAGAAGAGCGGGCATTTGGCGCAAAAGAGGTTAACTCCTGACAAATATCCAGGTCAGACAAACAACTTGCCCTGCCTCACAGTCTGGGAGATAGAGAGCATCAGATCACTGCCCTCTGTTGCCCTCCTACCCCACGCCTACAACCCCCCAACACCCCCAACCCCCCGGCCTCGCACACTTACATCATCACACGCTCAAATTTGACTTTGCCCTTAACAAATCCATCCCGAGCCACACTTACACAACACTTTTGGCCACTTTTTCCACCCCCCAAAAAAACCCTTTAAGATGAAGAAAGTTCGGATTGGGTGTAATCTGCAGAGTAACTGAGGCTACCAGAGCGAGTAGCTTTTTGTTATTAAATTAAATCTGAGCTAACATCATCAGCACGCCAGGAACAACAATCACTTCAACCCAAAAAAAAAAAAACCCCATCAACTCTTCAGTTTGCCCGAGAGAAACGCAACCGTGAGCTCTAAAACAGCTTTTTCCGATCCAGCATCTGTTCTGCAAATAAACTTGTCCTGTTGTCAGGTAGAAGGTTAATGCAAAATACAGGCATACACATGTTCATTCATTTTGTTTGGCAACCTATAAACCGGTTCGAGGTGGTTTTATCTTTATAATTCGGATTCAGTGACCACTCTCATTGCTCACATTAGAGTTTGCGAAATGTTACGAATGTTCACCGACTTGCACCAAACTGGATTTTCTTCCACGAGTCAACTTTTTAAAATCCCCCACTAACTTCCCCTCAGCCACAAAAATATGAACCACTTTTTAAATCTGCAGGCAAGCCACTTCCCAGAGCACCATGACCTGTAAAAACATTTTCCCTAACTTACCTTTTATGATACATATACAATTGTACAATGTCATCTAGCTACATAGTGAGAGCCTTGTTTCTTTTTAATAAAGCTGAACATTTTCCGCCCCACCATCCCACCCGAGCTAAAAACACACACCGCCCTGATCGCTCATGTCTGTGACAGTCACAGTGCATCACAGGAGAATGAAACAGCAAGAAAAAAAGGGGGGTGGGGTGCACGGTCAGGGGCCAATGAGATTATTTACACCACTGAGAAATGGTCGAATATCAAACGTAATAAAAAGGCCTCACAGAAATACAGTATCTTGAGTGAAGGAATGATACAGCGTTTCTGTGTAATAGCCAGCAACTTAAATGCTTCATTTTTTATTTCCTGTTTATGAACCAACCTTTTCTTTACATCTTAGTGACCCACCAACGACCTGCCTCAGCATCAGTGCTCGGTCGTGACATAGAGGTGGACAGAGCAGCCTTTATGAACGACCAGAGCATTAACCTTCTTTTTATTTCATGTGTATTTTAATTTTGCCATTCTGTCACATTACTTTTATCAGAAGCTCCAGAATATTAAACAACACAACAGAGACCCAGAGATCAGAAACAGGCCAGCACTGTTCTGACCTGAAACTGCAGGTTTTTTCAGATTAATCCCACAGCTGATCTAATACTGCGACTGCACAAGTTCCACATAAACTCCTCTGCCTTGGTTCATAAATTGAGTTGCTGGTTTATTGATTTAATACACTTTACTTTTGTCTTTTTTTTTTTGTTGAAAACAAGCATCTTACAATAACAAGAAAGGCAAAAGAAGAACAGCATGAGAAAAAAAACGACCACAACATTTACCACAGCCAAGGATACTTCTCTCACATTAAATGGAAAAAATAAAAAGAAAAAGAAAAGAAAAGACTGGAATGTTCACAAAAACAGTGGAATAAATTTAAAATAAAAGAGATGATTCACAATGTAGAGTTGTGCTTGGCCCTCTTTTTTATCTGGGGGGAAAGGACTTGACCTATTCCCATCTCCATTCTCCAAACAGTTGATCACCATGACTTTTTTGTGATTCTCTCAGGACTGAAGGCATTCAGGCTGCAAAGAACACAGGAATAAGAGTGTATAGACTGCGCATCCACACCAACTGAGGTGATGTATTCAGTGCGGCTGCAAGAGATGGACTGATAATGTCCCCTAACTTGTCCCTGATCCCTCCTGTATCCGACACGCCCGACAAAGGCAACGACAGGAGGTGCTCTTCAGTTAGGCTACGATTCCAGTTTCACAACGCATAACCCACAATGCAGTGCTGAGCGCGAGGGGTTGCCTTCACGAGCGGACAGCGGCGAGATCGTGTGTCGATCTGTAAATGCAATTTAAAAACCTCTCCGTTGAGACTGATGACTGGCTAATTGGTGCAACAGCAACAGGGTTTAGAGGTTAAAGGAATGTACACAAGTCAAAAATATTCAAGCTTAGTTCTGATAGACTGAGATTCTACACTGTGTTTCCAGTCTGAAAAGATCACACGGCAAAAATTAAAAGAAAGGAGAAGAGGAAAAAAAAAAAAAAGGAGAAGCAGGGTTATGAAAATGCCACACACCCACCAACACTTCAAACTTATTTTATCCACAGAATAACATCTGCAGCTGTGTCGACTGACTCGTGGGGCGTGCGGGGGGGGGGGGACAAGGGAACTCTATTTTTTCTCCACGTTTTTTTTATCTTCTTTGTTTTTTGCACGATGTTGTGTCAGGTTTGGTAAGTGCTATAGCTAGGATGGAGCTGTGTGATGTGACCCCTGACATACTGCGACGAACTGTGAGTTTTCATCTTTTAAGACTTGTGATGGCACGAGAGTGGAGCCAGGATTTGGGGGCAGGTAAAGGGGATGACGAACATCCAGAGACAGAGAGACACCGACACGGACAGACTGACAAGAGAGGCAGGCAGACAGACAGACAGACGGACAGATAGGCAGAGGGTGTCTGTGGTGGAGCTGAAAAATGAGAGCAGAGCAGGGATGCAGAAGGGGGGTGGGGGGTTGGGGATTTGGGGGGTTCAGAGTCTCACAGGACAGGTTAGGGAACAAGAGTAAAATCAAGAGAAAGCGGCGTTAAGATGAGATGGCACTGGGCTTTTCCTTTCCTTCTTCCCCTCCCTTTCTCTACCTCCTCCTCCTTTCTCTCTCCCTCTTTTTCTTTCCCTCTCACTCAGATGGCCTCCACATAGTTGGCGGGCAGCATGCCCTGCTGGCCGGTGCGCTCCACGCGGCCGTACATCCAGCCCTCGTCGATCTGCTGCACGTCTACGATCACATCCCCATCCATGAAGGACACCTCGTCCTCATCGGCGGCAGCGTAGTCATACACTGCCCTGTACCGCTTCTGTGGACAACAACAGGTACTTCAGTGAGTTCCTGACAACAGCCAGCACAGGTGTGGTGTTTGAGAAAGGAGCAACAGCAGAAATCATCTCTGTGAGAATGTGATTTTTGAAAACTAAAGCAAAAAGCTGCTGAAATGTGTCTGAATGGCTCACTTGTATCTTAATGTCGGTGTTACTGTGTGTGCAGTTGTTAACTATACAAGATACCTGCCAAGTAAACAAATCAAATAACATCTTGCGGCTATTTATTATTTTCATTTTTAATTAAACAACAGGTTAGTTTTGCAGTTAATCTATTAGTCTTCAAATGTCTTGTTGTGTGCGAGCAATAGCACATTAACACAGAATTATTCATTTTACTACCATAGAAGTTTATAAGAAAACAAGCAAATATTCACATTTGACAATCTGAAGTCAGTGAACGAGTCATTGATTATCAAAATAGTTGCCGATTGACCTTTCAGCTCTACTTATAAATCCAAATTATGATATATTTGCACAATTTAAAACATGTTTTGTATGAATCAAAGTCTATTCTGGACCTACCCCAGCACTTGGTGGGGGGGCGGCCGCCGCCGGGCGCACTGGTTCAGGAGTGGGCTCATAGTGGAAGTTCTGAGAGGCTGCAGGCGGCTGGAAACCTGCAGGTTAAAACAGTGGAGGGCAAATGAATGAGCTGGAAACACATTTCCTTTTGTAACTCTGCCTCAGATACCAGACCCACTGGTATTCATACTGGGATTCAGATTCCATAAGTCTGGATTAAAATGTTTTGGGAAGAATTCAACACATAAAGCAAATACATGTTAAGGCTTGGTGTATTTACTCCAGCCTGGATGTCTGCATTGAGCGTGAGGAATTCAGAAACATGGCAAGCCAAGACGTGCATCCGATGTCTCCTGATTTCCCTGTTACACAACCTACTGCCTTTCTCTGTAAGAGTGTAAATCATGCATGTAAAATACAAACAGGTGAACTGGTCATTCAAATACTCAGCCGTTACTTTTCCTCGGACCTCCTGATGCTGCCATTTTCATACATAACGCCCATAATCTTGCTCATACTTATGACTTAAAAGTTGCTCATTCTGAGGTTCAGCAAACAATCCTTTGGCTAATGAATAATTAATAAAACTGTCTGTCAATGTATTTGAACATTTATTGTCAAATTATGCATTGTTAGAATAACAACAATACCTGCAGCGATGCAGCTTAATAGAGGAGCGAACAAGTCACAACCAAGATCCCCAAGTGGTGTGACGAGACAACACCCAGCATGCTGAGCTCATACAGCCTGTGGCAGCGATGGAGCCGAGCACAGACAAGGCAAGAAGCTTAAAGAAAAATGTACATACTTGGTTTGCTTCTACCAGAGAACCAAAAAGGCCTAATTATCAGGCGCTGAAGAGTTTAAAGGCTCAATTTCCCAATTCCCTTTGTTGTATCCAGCCATACGAATAATATGGCTCTTCTTTTACCTACTGTTGTACTTCTACTACTACATCCAGTACTGCTGCTTCTATCTAATCAGGATAACTGTAGACTGAGTGATCAGAAAAATTGTATCTACTTAGAAAAGTTAGAATGAATACCTGGGCTGGGATTGTTCGGCGGATGATGTGGGGCTTCTCCTCCCTTCCTCTTCTCAAACTCCTCATGGTACCTAATCTGCAAGAGGCAAACACAAACAGCGTAAGGTCATAGACAAAGATGGAGAAAAAGCATGCACCTACACGTAAGAGCTTCAAATCTACAGGTGCAGTCTTCGTTTCCAGGAAGCTGCCAAAGCGTGTAGTTCATTTTCTATCCACCAGAGGTCTCCCGCACGCTCTCCAGCACCCTCCGTGTCTGAGGCGATAGGTGGGGCGCGCTACGTGCAGCAAAGCCTCAGGAAGCGGCTTGACGCTGAGAGGAAATGACATCTCGGTGGCCGGAAGTAGAGTGAGCTCAGAGTTGCATAGCAACCGTCGCTGACACATCAGGAAGAACAGGTGAAGTGAAGAAGGGGAACTAACTAGAAGCTTTGGGGCGATTCAAGAGGAAACATTGAGAGGAGGAAGAAGGAGGATCTTATGACTAAGCACAGCAGAATGCAACTTAAATCATTCATCTACTACCCCCTCATGTGTGACTGAACCTTTTCCTCAGAACTTTGTTTTTAAATCCTAAAGAAGGTCATTGAGGCAGGACCGCAAAGAGGAAGCACCTGCGCTACAATTTCAGGTACAAAGCAACCTATAACCTCTCCCGCCAGCATGACAAAGGCCACATTCAGCGTTCCAACATGAAACAGGGCCACACTGATGAAACTGAAACTGAGTGACTGCTCTATGACTGCACTAAATAACCCGGCCCCCTCCCTTATTAACCAGGCTGATAACAGACTGACTCACAGTGCCTCGGTCAAGATTTACAACCCCCGATTCTGTCCCCCGCTCACACTCGCGCTCAATGAGCCCACTGTGCCCGGCAGCGTTAGCAGGGGAGTGCGTTCGCAGACTGGATGGGATGACTGAGTGTTTGTGCAAAGACAGTGAGGCGAGTGACTGAGAGAACACAGCGACTGTTCTCAAGTGCAATATGCTAAGTGAGAGTGTGTAAAGGAGATTATTTTGTTTGTTGCGATGGAGCAGGTCTAACAGATGGTGTGTGTGAATTTACAGGAAGTGGCCCAGGCTGCTGCTGCTGCTGCTGCTGAACTGAACCCTCCTCACTGCTTCTCAATCTTTGCTGCTTGACAAGAGGAAGGTGACGGGAAATGGAAGAGAGTCAGTCGACCAATGAAAAGTCATGACAAAGCAAAAACAAAACTTAACAAAACAAGAATGACAGACGAGTCTTAGACGAGTAGAAGTGAATGAAAGGCTTCACATTGCTGAGATTCTGGAGAGGGCGCCGAGTAAACTGGTTTGTTTCTGTGTCCGGGAGAAAGAGAACAAAAAGAGGGAAAGATGTAGCATTCATCTGATTCCCTTATGATGGGCTGTGAATGACACGCTGATTGCGAGCAGATGTGTTGTTTATCACTTCACGATGCGCCCAAATCCATCCCGCCATAACGCGCTTGTTGTTTTGATGTGGTCTGCGTGTGTGTGTGCGCGCCCATAAATACATTTAACATATGTGTTATCTTCCGAATTTCCTTGATCTCAGACACGCAGGATCTTTCACCACATGAAAGTGGTAATTACCCATCACCCTCCACACTAATTATGCCATTAACAAGGCCAGTGCAGAGCTAGTTACGCATGTGTGTGTGTGTGTGTGCGCGTCACATGGAAATAAAGGCCTTTACAGCTGACTTAAGCAGTCTCAGGACACAAGGTAAACACTGCATGCATTTTTACATCGCTGCTCTGTATTTACACAGAAATGGCAAATCAATGACGGGAGCTGAGGGAGAGAGGAGGGCAGAGTGGAGGAGAATGGTTTATGTGGGAAGCGATTTGAGGAGAATTCCATTACTATAAGCGAGGAGCGGTGTGAGCCGAGGAAGCCTGACATTAACTGATGTCGGTGCCTAAGTGGGAGGATAAAACATACTTAAAAAGCAACAACACGCGAAATAATATAAAGCTTGAGATCTTAAGCTGGTGACGCTCTCTCCGAGATGAAGAGGGAAATCTCAGGAGGTGAAATAAAGGAAAAAGGATCTTGCGTTTTCCACTGGTGAACTTTATTAAGTCTCCTAAGAGAGCTAACGTAGTTATTATGCAAAGTTTTTAACTGCACCAGATAAGCATGACCTGCATTAAAAAAGCTAGCCCGAAGCTGTGATATCAGGAATTCTCAAGCAGGGAAAGGACCCTTCCCAGTGCACTTCATATAGACCAATTACCCTCCTGAGCGCAAATCCTCAGTTCAATATTGGCAAAGAGATTATGGCCATATCGGGAGCAGTAGACATACATTTAGACCTCTTCCTTTAAGATTTGAAAGAAACAAACAGGTGGAGCGGAGGGTGACACTTACATTGCTGATATTTTCCTGCGTTTTCTTAATTCTCTGCAACTCCGGCGTGTCTGCGACCACGCTGAAACCTTTCCCTTTATTCTTCTCAAAATCCTCCCTGTAGCGAACCTGCAGAACAGACAAGATCACGGTTAGAAGCAAGAAAACAATGTATGAACACGCAAGGCAATTTAATAAGTGCCACATTTTTATCTGAGATTAATTACGCAGGCAGATAAAACAGTTTCAATGTGTTTGTGTGAGCAAAGTCCAACAAACGCAGCACAAATGATTATTTATAGATGCTCTGACCTAGATTCTTTCAACATATACAAATTAAAGGAGGGGGGGGGGGTGTTTTGATATTTGTCTGCATGTTTGAAATTAATTAACATCATTTCCACCTTATAAGTACTTGTACTTGTACTTGGCTTTGCAAATGGATCACTCCTGAGCTTTAATGTGGCTTAATAAAATATCTTTACAACAGGGGGGAAAATGGTTTTACTGTTGACTTTATTACAGCTCGACACCGTTTATATTAACGAAGAGGAAAATCCTGAAATGTCACCTCTAGTGAAAAGGAACATTTTTCTCATTTTTAAAGTATTTTCTTGGTTGAGGCCATAAAAGTTTAAATTACACATGTGCTACTATAAACATTTTATCACCTTTTCATTGCATTGAGTCAAATTACCAACCTACCGATCACATAACCTAAAGTGTTGAGTTCATTGTTAACAATGATTGTTTAAAACTGTGACTGAAGGAAGCATTAGCAAAAAGAAGGCTGGCACCACATATATTGCTTAGTCTTTTGTGGTGACGTTCACTTCCTGTTTGCTGGGGAGGGAAGGCCTTACATACAGGACGTGGTAGCAACCATACATGGTCATAATGAGAGGTAGTGTGAGACAAACAAGAGAGAGAGTGTGTGTGTGTGTGTGTGTGTGTGTGTGTGTGTGTGTGTGTTTTTCTAGCCTTCCCACCCTATCCTGACCCCGAGGGCCGCGGAGGAAACGTCCAACCCATGCGCCGTCAGATGTGTATCAGAAATTACAATGCACGGTGCCCCCCCCCCTCACAGCTGCCCTGTGGCTGATCTCGAAGCATTTCAAAAAGCCACAACCACTTACACCACTTAACAAACCTGAAACAGGAAGTTAGGTACAGGTTTTATTTTTTTTTAAAACTAAAAGAAAGAACAGCTCACACATTCGGGCTCTTCTCCATCTGATCTCCTCGACACGTGCTGGGACATTTCAACAATGACAAATCACTTTATTCCACCTCCCCAGCACCAACCGACAACCCCCGCCCCCCCACCCCTACTCTTGCCTCCATGGTGACTGCACCAATTTCCTGCCATACCACGAAACAAAGCTCCCCCCCCCTGACATCCACACAAACGTTTGACACCACTCAACAGACTGCTGACCAATCCTCCTCTCATCTCCCGACACCTCGTGATGACACGGCGTGGTTATGATTCACAGATAACGTGTGTGTGTGTGTGTGTGTGTGTGTGTGTGTGTGATGCAGTGTGTGATGTGTCCGTCTCTGCCGTCAGCCCCTTGGCGTGACGTCCACTGAGAAATTGGGTGGAAGCTACGGCTGATCCTCATTCCACGGGAAATTATACATGGCTCTCGAGCCTCGCGCGCTCAGATAAGTCGTGAGGAAGATTAACGTGGCCTCGGACCCATCTTTGTCATTCATTCTCGCTCTCCGCTCCCATCGCTCTCTATGAATGATCCTCCCCCTGTTTTCATTTCCCAGTCCATCTCCTTTGTCTTTTTTGGGGTCTATGCAACAGCTTCTTCTCCTCCAATCACGCCTCTGCTTCCTTTCCCCACCCACACTTCCGTCTCTCTGTGCTCCTTTTTTCATTCATTCATATTTTACTGCCTCAACAGCAACAGAGTCGTCCCATAGAGCTGGAGCTCCACCTCATTATAATCTCTCTCTCTCTCTCTGCTTCTATTTGCATTCCTCTAGCTTTTCCTTCCTCTGGGGATTTTACTTTTATCTCTTCCTCTTTCACCCTGCACTCCTCCCTCCCTCTGTCTGTTGGTGCCTTCCTGTCTCTTCCTTTTTTTTCCTCCCTCACTCATGTGCGCCTCATTGCTCTCCCTCCCCTCCTCCCCAATTCGCTCTCTCCAGTTTCTTTATTTCTCTCTCACTCTCTCAGACTTGCTTCTTTCTGTTTCCCCCCGCAAAGTCTTGTAATGAGGTGTGACAAACCTCTACCCTGCTACCATAGCAATAAGGTTCCTGTAGCAACGCGGCTGCGGCGGCGGCAGTGGTGGTGGTGAGGGGGTTAGATGGCCACAAACACCTTCAACTTCCTTTCGCTGACACAAACGGACTTAAAAAGATACAAAGAGTGCAGGAGAATTTCACTGTAGCACACAAGCATCACAGTGCAAGAGGCTCAGGTCATCTAACATATCTAAATTAACTACAAATACACGTGTGTGCATTTTATAGGAATATATATTGAATTTTTCATTTATTTGAATTTATTTGATGCATGAATGGGTATGAAATAGGATTACATTTTAAAATACCACTTGAAGTTCAAATGTACTGTAGTTTTTAACAGGAAGTTCTTTAAAAACAACCTTTTTTTTTTAATGGAGTCTGGTGCAGCATAATCAGCATTTTTTTTGTTTGACACCACTTTTTTCCCCCGACTTTCTGTAACCAAAAGCATATTTTGAGCCGTTTTTTGCCAAGAGAGGACTTAACTTCAAGCTGTGTCCTTTTTCTGACGGGAACTTTCACATCATAATATATTTGAGACCAGTCTACTTCCGTTAAAAGCCCTATTTTTGTTTTTTTTTAATGAAATCATAGTTTCCTGTCCACTGACCACTCACACAACCTGCTGTAGAGAAGAGAAAGAAAATGTCACAAAGAGTGACGCTAATCTTTATTCATGATTACACAACACACACACACACACACACACACACACACACACACACACACACACACACACACACACACACACACACACACACACACACACACAAACACACACACACACACACCTTTAGTGTAATAATCTCATTCTTAGGCTTGTGTCGATGATAAACCTTCGGTACAATGACCGTCTCTTGGTGTATGCTGGTTGGTTGTTTGTGGGGGGCTGTTAGGATGTACAATCCATGTAGAAAAACACCATTTGTCCCTCGATCCCTCGGTTATCCCTCTCCCCATATGACCGCTACCACCCCCCCCCCCCAAAATACCCCACAAAACCCCTTCTCACATGCATACACCCCGGGCTCATCTGTAGTGTTTGACATGGACACTCAGTTAAGACTTGACCGTCTTTGATAAGCCCTGCCTCAGCTCCAGGCGTTCTCCTCTACTACATGCTGAGAAAACAAGCCTCTCATTCAGCCTTTCCCCTAACGAACCTTCCCTATTCCCTTTCACTGACCACTGTCCACATTAAGTCCCTCCAGGATCTTGCAGATGTTTTTTGTGATTAAGGAGGCTCGACATGACTGAATTTGAAGGGGCTTTTCTACTTAATTGTGCTTAAACTTCCATTTAATGTGTACATTTTGCATTAAAATGCATCATGCAGCTTCTAATTTCTGTGTGGTTACTTTAGTGATCACAACTTCCTAGAATACTAAGAAACACTCCCTAGACATCAGGCATGAATAAGAGAAGTGAAACCTCGCATGACAGCCTTCAAGGTCAACAATGTCTGCCACCATAAATAAAAACATTTTATAGCCACTTTCTCTGTGATTTGTTATGCTTTCTTTAACTACATGCAGCCACTGTGGGAAAACATTAAAAGTGTGCTGGCAAGTACAATCTCTGACACTCAGAGTGTCAGTATCAGAGCCAGCTTTATTAAGGCAATAACACATGACCCAGTTCAGATGGATATTTTGGTCTGATGAGGGTTTTTTTTAAATCCTAGAATATATTTGGGTCTTTGTTATTTTAGCTTCGGCAGGAACAGACATAGTAGTGTGTTTTTCTGTGGATACAAATTAGACTGGGGACTTTTTGACGAAAAAAGGTCAAATGGCCAGTACACTTTGGGTGGCCTTGCAAATAACATACAGCAACAAAAGATGCAGAGAAAAGAACAGTGCATTAGTACTGGGCCACATCAAACATGGTATAAGTGGCACAAAATTTATTAGGCTATAATCCAGTTTGCAACCATGATAACAAAAAAAAGCATACAAGTGACAGCCAGACACATTAACACCAGTGAGAGCAGCGGTGTGAAACAACAAACCAGACTGTTCCTCAGCAGGAAGAGCGTTACAGAATATTTGGGTTATTTTGGGGCGAGTCGTACAATGAATGTGTGAACACGTCAAAAAACAAACTCCACCACTCACAGACGGTCCGATAGAGGACGCCAAAATCTACCTACTTCTGATGAAAACACCTTCATCTACACAGATTCCAGCAGGTTGAGGACCTACAGATGTGACCTTCCACAAATGTGGTCAAGCTTAGTTATCATAGAAACATTTTTCCAGACTTATTCCTATTAGGATCATTTTCAGGCTTAGCTCAAGCTTAGACAAAATTACCATACTCAACAGAAAGGCAGTGCTTTCTCCAGACTTCTGCCAGTTTATTTAAACTAAACAGGCAAATGTGACCAGTGTTAAGGGGCATCTAAGCTGCAATGGTTTCTTACGTAACAAGCTTCTTTTTTTTTTTTTTAAACTGACAATAAAAGGAAATGGAAAGTGTTGCAAAACAGATTTAAGCAAGTTTCTACTTCATAGTTCTAAACTACATTACCCTATAATGTAATTTAAGGGGTGCTAGTATTCTAGTGTACTTCTGGTGGATTCATCATTGAAAAGGCGGAACTGATATAAGGGGGATTGGGACCCAAACTCTCAATAACTGAACCAACATTCTTGTGTTAGACTTTGGCTGTGCACTCTAACCTCTACTTGGCCAGCAAGGCTTGGGTTTTTTTATTCACAGTAACTTATTCTATTTATCATTCCAATAAATGACCTTGGGCCTCCCAGCCCTCTCTTAACGTCTCTAATTTCATGCTTGACTTCTCAGGTAAGTCTTAAAGGCATTCAAGTTATCTTGACTGTTCAAACTAGCTCTGAATTAGACTGATTATGTTATCTGAAAGTTGGCTTTATGAAAGATTTTCAGGGTTAACTCAAGTCAAGCTTTACAAATTAAACATGTCTTTCTTTTGCCTCCTTTGTGGAACAATGCCAAAGTGTTTCATAGCTGGAGTTTGGTTTAGCCATGAGTAGCTGCAAGCACAAAGAGTTACCTGGCTCTGCATCTGGCTCTGCTGTTTGAGGCGGAGGTTCTCTGGAGTGTCAGCCACACAGGTGAAGTTTGTCTTGGGGTAGTGTCTGTAAAATAAACACACAAAACAGTCAGTACACAGTAAACACACCCAGGCAGATGCCAGCTTTTACTCAGACTCCCACTGTAACGTTCAAGCCCAGACGCTAAGAGAAAAAAACAGCATAACTCAAGCAGTGTGCAGTCTGTGGCCCCACAGTGGGGACATTTGTTATTCAAGGTGGTCCTGAGGTTGAGTTAGGAGCCCCTGTAGACAAAAAGCATGTCAGTGTAACACACAATGCTCTGTCAGTGGGAGCCGAGGTAGTCTGAAAAAGAGGAAGTGCAGGCAGGGGCTGTGTGGGGTGGGGGGGGGGGATGAGAGCCTCAAGGTTGCAGAGTTCTGGAGGCGAGCCATAGCAGGTGTGGAAAAAGCTTTCTAAGCTTACAAAACAGTCATACACACACACACACACACACACAACACACAAGCATGGCCCTATGGGGCATAACAGGAAGAGGAACAGCACACAACAGACACAGCAACAGGGTCAAAGAGACAGTGGGTGAGAGTGAATGATGTCATGGGTAGCCCCCTCTCAGCAGAGCATGAAGGCGAGTCTCTTTTCCGAATGGATTCTGGGAATATTCTTGACAGCCGCAGACCCATAACCACCCCGACCGCCTACTGCTCGGGGAGAGAAAAATCCTCTGCCTGAAACAAATACAACAAACATAAATATACACACGTAAGCATAAACACGCAGCTTCCACGCCGACGTGCACGCATGCAGCACACACCGAGCATCATTCCAAAAGCCATTCCTCACACACCTACTTATTGATTGCCTAAACTGCTGTCAATGGTTTTTGTTTGTGTGCAACGAATAGGTCTTTTTGAAAAAAAATTATATACACTGGAGGCTTTCTGTGCACGAGTAGCCTTCAGGTCGACAATTAATGGTGCCTGCCAGTTCAGTGTGGTCCTCAAGGCAGCAGAAAACACATGGCTTGAATCCAGAGGAAGAGCCCTCACAGCTTATATAACTGCTCATATGGACTGCAGTTCCCAGCCTGCCTCAGGGTGCTGGGTGACCTCAAAAATCTTCAACCGCTATCCGTGCCTCTGGGTAACCCATTTAGGCGATATGTTTACCGTTTCCTTGACAACATGGTAAACAAACTGAATTAGCATTCGTCCTGATGTTATTATAGGATGTAAAAGACTTCGACAAAAGGATTGTGGTTGGTGTATTTTACATCAAAATACTGTTTTAAAAAAAAAGGATACACGAGCCACTTCAAAGAAAAACCCAAGGATAATTTCGAGGTGTAGGAAGCGGAACATGAACGGATCTGAACAACAAGTTGGCATTTTTAAAAGATGTGCGACACACAATGAGCAACTTTATCCCCGTTTGCATCGATACACACCTGAGCCTTTACAACTGCTCCTTTTACTAAAATGGAGGGTAATCGGCGACATTCAGATGTAGTGGTTTGCTACGTTGGCAGCTGAGGCCGGGCAAGTTAATCCAACAAGGCAAATGAAGCTCATGTTTTATTGTTAGGAGATATCTAATCACAGAGGCAAAAAATATGTTTTCCTATGCATACACACCACGTTCGTCATATACGAGCCACTCCTGAGTGCACACCGCCAGAACTATCTGCTACAGCTTAAATTAATAGGTAAAATATGGCTGAAACAAGGCTACATGGCTAAAAATCAAATGTTTTTTTTTTCCAGGTTTGCGCAGGGCTATGACTTCATGCTCTCAGTTTCCATTCATCATTAGTAATGTAATTTCTAGAATATAGTTGCATCTGACAAATCCGTATTTGTATGGAAACAATCCAAACACAACAAACATTAACCCCTGTAAGGCCGTTTTACCAGCCGTGTATCGCTTTGTCTATTCTTGGGGAATGTCCTTTCACCATATATGTTCATTTTTCTCTGGAAATGGGTGTGTTTAGTTTGTGGTAAGACACACTTCCTTTACAAGAGCATCACTGTGCCTGAAAACCCGTGTGTGCTCGAGCCACACATCCTCTCGACCAACGTCTGCGTTAACAGTGTTCCTGTCATCTTCTATGTGGCTTTAGAAAACCGTCCTTACACTTAAGGGTCAGTAAATTGCTGTACAAACACACAACAGAGTTGCAGATATAAGCTTAGTGACTCAGTGGGATCTTGAAATGTGTGTCTGTCTGTGTGTGTGTGTTTGTGTGCAACCATGCTTGAGTCTTCGTGCCTGTTTGAGGCTATGAATGAGTCACAAGAACACTCATCTATCTGTCAGGTTGTATAACAAGGTAATAAGTCGCAGACGGGAGTGGGTGACACATGCACAAACTCAGTTAGCCCTGTGAACGCTAAAAAGGGAGTGATCAAAATGGAGGGGAGGTACTGCTGGGGTAGAGGAGTGAAGGGGGCCACGCATGTGCAATCACACACACACACAAACACTGCCTACTGTGCAGGAGGAGAGGCCTGCTTGCATTGTGGAACCAGGAGATGCTGTGGCCCGGCTTGACCCTGTGAGACCTAGGAAAGGTTGTAATGCATCATTCAGCAGGAACATTTCATCTGCATGTACAGTACATCCAACTCAACAGGTTCAATGACTGACTCAGGAGAAGGCACATTTCGAATCTGTAAACACACACACACACACACACACACACACACACACCAGTAGAGTAGTTTGTAGAGGCAGAATTGATGAAAGAGAGCAAGGGAATAACAGGCAGAGAGGTCTGCTGCACAATGACTGGCAGAATCCATTATACAGCGATGCTCATGTATCAGAGTTCATTTGATATTTTACTGACTAGGCCTTCCTGCTGGTCAGCTTCCAATAAGCCCTTTCCCAAGCTGATACAGAGGGCAGCACACGCCACAAACCAGGACCCGAACCAGCAGCGCAGTGCCACATTGTGAAAGTGGTTTTAATCTTGACATATTTATTAACAACATATTAACAAATGGCCGCAAATCAAGATTCAAGATTGTGTTAAATGGGAGAAAACTGGCAGCCGCTGTAAATGATAACACTAAATCAACACATTCGAGAAGGGCTTTAATAACACCGCATTGATGTTCAAATACATTTCGGACTATCAGCCATGAAGGCTGTGAAGCCACCAATGGCTCCAGCGGTCTCCAGGGGAAATGAAGAATTTTCCTGTCCACTTTATCTGCCCTCCTAAATCTCCCACAACCCCCCCATCTGTGATTCTAGTATCTAATATGGGATTCTCAGAGAAGAGGTGGGTGGGAATAAAGGGAAAACAAACAACGCCTATATCAATTACGAAGGACAAATATAGAGGAGTAATGATAAAGTAGTTATCCCACAGAATAATAACAGAGAACGTAGCTTGCATTCCTCTCTTGAAGCAGGAGGCTCTTCCACTGATGATGTTTACCCGAACAAGGCTTGTTTTAAACAAACGGAAAGAGGCATAATAAACAGGCTCTGAAGGGCCTCGCTCCTGCTGGCGCGGGGAGCGGAGGGAACATCGGAAGCAGGGAAGGGAAACGAAGGAGCGGCTGATAGCAGGACGACACCTGCTGTAGGTGGTTAACGCCTTGATGTAGATGTGACAGACTGGATGCAGGGGACAGGGGTTCACAGCCAGACATTAAATCTAGGGGGTGTTATTAACTTTTGTTATGCTAATAACAATGATACTTAAAATTACTATATTTTATCATCAAATATAAGCTTATAATCAGGCCCGCACGCAGGTGATAGATAATTAGACCTCTGCTCAGGTTGCGGGCTGGGTGGAGCTATGCTGGGAGTTTGCTGTAGTCATCAAACCCAATTCACTCAAATGAATCATAGAGGTGTTGTCCTGACCTGAACAAGGGTCCAAAAGTCAACACAGGGTTAGAAGGATAAGGCAGTAACCATTAAAAAACACCTTAGACTATGGGTCCTGGGCCAATAATACTCCTACTTAGCTAATCTGATTCCTGTACAGAGAAAATAAAATAAAATAAAGCAACAACAAAGCATGTTAAAAGTAGAGAAAGCACAGGTGTAAATAATAAAATATAATGATGGCTCAATTCCATACTTGAACAAAACAGAAACTGTTAGTCTTATTACTAACACGTGTGCATTTCCTACTATGACTCAACATGTCTGCTGTAATAAAAAAGGCACATTACATGACCCCCCCACCCCCCCAATACTCTCACCTGCAAGAATAAATAGAGCAATGCACTTGGTTTACATAGAAAGTATTTGCATGTATGTTTTAGGGGTTTTTGCCTATCAAATCTCGCCAGTCAAGATGTGTTTTATTTTCTCATGTTAGAATGTGACCTGTGCTAGTTGATCTTTCAGGTTTGGAAACACGAGAGAAAGAAGCGCAATTGTGGCATGACTCCATTTCATGAATGCATAGAGACACCAAAAAAAGGGGGAGTGATTTGAGAAAACAAGTTCAAAATCAAGTCACACCCTGTCAGTGACTGATTTTACCTAGCTCATGTACTTTGTGGTGATTTAATGGCTGTTTGTGGCTAATAAAACACAGGTAACAACAACATAATTTGGATGAATACAACAACAAGACAATTTGTTTTGAGTGCCTCTTTAGGCGCTGTTTCTATTTCTCTGGCAATCAAAAAAAAAAGGCAGTTCAGAAGAAATGCAAAAGAACTTGTCAGGACATGAAGCAACGCCTTTCTCTCTACATTCACTACCCTCCAACTCACACACACACACACACACACACACACACACACACACACACACACACACACACACACACACACACACACACACACACACACACACACACACACACACACACACACACACACACACACACACACACACACACACACAGAGAGAGAGAGAGGGAGAGAGGGAGAGAGAGAAAGGAGGAGAAAATCATTATAAGTAATGGCAGAGGGGGATTCCATGGATTCCTGATGAGCCTTTAGTGTGTGAGTATGTGCTGAAGCGTGAGTGGACATGCTAGTTTTCAGAGTGTCCGCCTGTGTCACTGTAGAGGAACTTTAGGAATTTCCTTTGTTGATAGCCCCCCTCCCCACTTTCCCCACTGAGGAGGAGGGAGGCACTTTCCCACACCACATATAGGGCTTTTCTGTGAGGAGGAGGAGGGAGGGGGGCTGAAACAGTCACTGATAAACAGCAGAGGAGGGACAGAGAGAGAGGGGCCTTAGTTGGGTTGCAACATGAATACACATGCATTTAAGAGGGTCCGATTTCCGTCTGTGGACAGATTAAACACTGCTGTCTTAGAGATGCAGGTGGAACCAGTTGAGTATAACACTGACATGCACAAAATGATGACTTAAGGACAACTTACGCATTGCAGTATGGTCTCTTCTCAAAGCCTTTGTAATTCTTCATGTTTAGAGTCATTTTGCAGACCTCGCAGCTGAAGCATCCTTTATGCCAGTACTGTCAACAACAAAAAAAAAGACACAAAAAGATAAGGAGGGTGATATTAGAAACATTTTTTTTTTTTTTTACCTTTCTCTGGATCCAAAAGGAGAGAGACACACACACACACACACACACACACACACACACACACACACACACACACACACACACACACACACACACACACACAGACAGACAGACAGACAGACAGAGAAAAACACCCATACATCAACTAGCACAGAAAGCTAATTTAATGAGTAAAGCCAGAACTACTTTTTGTTCCCTCAAGGTTTCACAGGGACAAGAGCTGGATACAGACAATAGAAATAGTGACTGAAATAACGTGAAGCAATGTGGAAACACAGTCGCTTGTGTATGCTGGCACTGAAACCAACATCCCCTTTCTGACAGCGAATTGTATGGCTACTATTTATAAGTAGATAGGGCTGGCTGCACTGGTGTGAACGATGAGGAAGAGCTGTCAAGCTTGTGATTGACAAGTATGTATCTGAATTTTCAAACGTATTATCTGGGGCAATCAATGTTCACACTTTTTATTTATTATTTATTACATATGTACCAACAGAAGGTGTTTTCAGTTCATGCTGCAGAGACCGTGCTTCCTCTGAAAGCCACCTATTGACTCTTATCTGTCCGTCTGCTCATCTCTGCAGGCCTGCATGTTTCTGCAGCTCCTCCATCCAGCTTCATAAGAGGCCGTGCCTCTATCTCCCTCACCACCCTTTCTCCGTTCCTCCCACCCAACCGCCCTCCCTCCCAAACGCCCTCCCTCTCGCCTCCTTTCCTTTTCTCTCCTGGCACTGGGCTGATCTGGGGCCTGAGGGTTCAAAGAGGGATTGAGGGAGGGAGGATTGGAGGAAACTGCAAGGAGGGAGGAAACATTAAAGGAAGGGAGCTGGAGAGTGCAAGAGGAAGAGCAGGGGTGGGGTGGACAAGAGAGAGAAAACGGCAGAGAGAAGTGAAGCAATGATCTGGCTGCTCCAGCTATCGTCGAGGGAAAGGAGGGAGGAGTGCAAAGACACAGAGAGAGCAAGAAAGAATGGGAGGGAAAGAAAGAGGGAGTCCTTATTAACATGGCCTCAGGGCGCTCTGTCATCCTTCTCATTCTTTCTCCCACTCTTTATCACTTTCTACACCAATTGCCCACACACACAAAACACTAATCTTCCAAACAAACAGCGCATAAAAGATTCAAAACAGAGGAGAAAACTGCAGAATCACATCAAGGTACAACATCCCTTTTTTCCTCACAGACACATGCACAATGCAAGTTTGATTCCACTCGGTCTTCTTGGGATAAGACGCGCGCATCACTGACAGGAAAATCCATAATTTCCCTGTGTGCAGTGGCAGTGACAGTTTGATAATATAGCATATGTTACAGCACTGATAAACAGCTGGCAATAAATCACAAGGATGTTGAGGTTCCCGGCTGCAGATGGACAGTAGACACAATCATGTGCTGTGCATATATAACCGAACACAAAGCACAATGGGCGTTTCACTTCCTTCCATTATTGAACAAGAATATAGCTTCAGGCGGGTATTTAAGAACAGTCTCGTCCGTTCTGTCTGGACGTGACGGACCACCCAGCGTGGTACGCCATGACAGGACAGAACAGGAAAGTGGTGTGTGTGTGTGTGTGTGTGTGTGTGTGTTTGACATGGATGTCTGTAGCAGTGGGCCAGCAATATTGCACTAAGGCATACAAAAGATGAGGCTCACAGAGGAGACCGAGCCTGGGCTCTGTTCAGTGGAGCTGTGATCCACAGCCAAATACACTGGGCCAAGCCTTCGAATGCAAACTCCTTATCCCACGACAACCCAAGACGGAGCCTGAGGGAGCTGCAGATGGACACAACGTGTTACTCTTTCCACTGCTCTCCCTCTCCATTGTTCTGGCTAGTACTGCAATGGCAAATCCCTTTACAAACAACAGCACAGTGCAGGCAGATTCCATTTCCTCTAGCTTCAGCTGATTCGCAGCTGTGGTGGCTGCCATCTTCACATGCATACCGTCTGGTTCATCGAGCCCAGCAGACCAGTATGATACCATATTCTCCACTGATTACTGTTATCCCCTTCTCATTTCCCCAAATCTGTCATAATGGTAAACCAGGGACAAACTAACAGAGTGTAATCCTAATAGAGAAGTGGGACTGCAAATGCTGTTGGGGAGAAAGGTGACACTGTCAGCTGAGCATGGACTTTGATACTCCGGCTGTTTCCCAGAGTAAATATTGACCTCTGTTTAGCAAACTGTGCTTCAGCCTCACCCAACCTGCTAACCCACATTTCACCAGAACAACCTGTGTCACCCTCCTTCAGGTGAACAGACGTCCTGCTCAAACTGTTTAAAGTAAACTACCAAACAAGCATACAGCTCTCTGGAGGTGCCTAAACGCACCGAGCTGGGATATGATCACTCACAGCACACTTGGAGGTGGTCAGGGCAAAACATATCCATTTATTTCCATAGTAAACGATAAACCCATCACTGACACATTAAAAAGGACCACCTGGTGAACTTAAAAGTTTCATTCAGTATGCATTAAGCCACTGCAGACATCTTCTCTGCTGTGTGGCTGAACGCACATTTAAATTTTGTTCTGCTCAGCAGTGGTTGCAGTTTCCCCACAGATAAAATCAAATGTGCGCAGGGGAGGTGAAATATAATCACAAGTGGTCACTCGAGACACATTTGAGACAGGCATGAACCGCTACCAATCTCATCTGAATCACAATATACAATATCTGGTTGGAATATATTAGGTCTGAGACGTATATATTATGTCTAGGATTAAGGCGAATGGATGCCAAAGGGAAAGGAAAGGGACAAACGGAGACGCGGGGGCACGAAGCATCCCAAATGTGTGTTCGAGAGGCCATGCAGCAGTTAGCCTTGTCCGGCTCCAGGAAAAACCTGGCTCTCAAGTGCCAAGGCAGGATCTGGCAGTCAGCTGGAAAATGAGGACACTGCAGAGCCGGAGCCCTAGAAATAAAACACCCATAAAAAAAAAAAATAAAAAAAACACCACTGTCTCCCTGCATCAGTGCAGCTCGGGGGCATGTGTGTATGTGTGGGTGCACATGTGTGTAGTCCTCTATGTAGGTTATATGTCTCAGTGCATGATGCATGTGTGTCAGCAGGGATCTAAAGCTCCACTCAAGAGCAAAAAAAATGCTCAGTCAGCCTCACAGATTCTCTCTTGGTGAGAACCAAATACAAGTTGGCCTGGACAAAAAACCCTGGAGCTATCTGGGAGGCCCACACAACTTACAACTTACAGACACCATGTATGCACACACATTACACACACACAGGGAGGGTTATTTAGAGTCTGACCAGGAGCGTGCTCTCACATACTAACTACAGACAATTAAGTCGCTGGCTAAAGGGCATTAAAATGCTGTGGGCCCATTGTGTCAACCACTTTCTATGTCAGTATTAGTGTGTAAATCTAAATGGGACAGATGTCTGTCGTTGTTTTGACCACTTACCACAGCAAAGCGTCTACCATCGATTCGTCATTTGATTTTAATAGAAACACTGATTGGAAACATTGGTTGGGTACCTGCCAAGTGAGACGCAGAGCGGACGAATTTACCAGAAGTTGGCTGGTTTTATTTTCTACGCTGATTAAATGATAATATCATTTTATTTCTAGAAAAGTCTCCTCAATCTATATACAGCGTTTACTGGATTTATTTTCACAGTGCAGTCTTCTGGTAATCACCAAATGAAGCATCAGAGGGAATTTAGCGCCTTCTAACACTGAAGGACATCCCTTGGGGGCCGTGATGAAATGTTTCATAACTCTTGGTCAAATCAGCAGCAATTAACTTCAATCTAAGCCCCTTTGTTTTCTGCTTTCATTGGCTGATTAGACCCACAGACTGAAAGATCCTCTGATGGCTCTTTGACTCAGATATTTATTTTAAACCAATAGTGGCTAAATAAATCCAAACACACACACACACACACACACACACACACACACACACACACACACACACACACACAAATAGTGGGCCATTATAGCAGCTTAGTCTGTGTGAGTGTGAAAGATTATTCGGGCATAAGAGAGTAAATGCCTAAAGACACAGTGCCCACATCTGGCTGGTGCTAATAGAGGAAAGTCTAACTCATTAAAGCACGCTGGTTAATTATAAGCCTACCTGATGCCATTTTTTTTTTAACCCAAGCCGAGGGCTGTGTTGCTGGCCAGCAAAGGCAGACAGTGACTTGAACAGGCGTAGTATGCTGGAGCAGAGTGTATGCACTTAACACACTTTTTCCAAACCACTCCAGACTGTGATGTGCACTTAGTAACATACTGCCGCCCCAGCAATGAGACAGCAAAACAATCCCAGCAGAAAAGCTGAGACATGAGCACGGTAAAGGTGAAATGTCAAAACACTTCAGCCTCGTCATAACTCATCTGTGTAAATTCACTTTACAAAAACGTCCAATTGTGTTACTGTGTCATGTTGTACGGCTTATATTAGATAAAGCGTCGCCTTCCTTTTCTATGAATTCTGCTTAGAGGCAGTGCAACTAATAAAGCTGAAACAAGATTGGGAAAGCAACTAGTTGCATTAGTTCCCCCTTTCTGAGAAAATGCACCAACCAGAAGTACCTGTGCACTCCGTCCGTGAAGGCAACACCTCAGCTGATTCTGACTGTAATGTGTGTTTGTCCGTGAGTCATCAAAAGGGAGGCGACTGGTTGTGGCTGAACAGATTCCTCGCCCCTTTTTTTTTTTGGCATTTGGGCAACGTGAATCAGCTCTCTCGGAATAAACGGGCTAATTATAGACAAGGCGGTAGACAAATTCCTCTAAAACTGGGGTTAGAGGAAGAGTGTTAACACTGGACCTTCAGAGAACTTCATTTGCATAATAGTGAAATACAAGTAAGTTTACATGTAGCGTGCTGTTCTATGAGTTAACAAAAGCTTTAGTGATTTCTAATTAGACCAATTTTTAGATTTGACATTACATGACTAAGCATGAGGTTAATGATGTAAGCTCCTTTATGCAGTAAAGAATGTACAGAGCTGCGCAACTCGAATACTGTACTCGTCTAACCTTTAACCCCCCCTTTTGTTGCAGCAATTTCCTGGGATTGAGAAGCAGCAGCACAATCGAGGCTCACATCTTACCCAGAAACCCCCACGCCGAAGCCAACTAACACAGCAAACCAATTTGTTAGCTAAAATAATAAAAACGGATGCGAGTCAGTCGTAAATGTGACAGAGAGACTGCAGTATGTGTCAGATACATCAGTGAGTGTGAAGCTAATGGCGTATGAAATCTGATTACTACACACACACACACACACACACACACATTAGTTAATGCCAACTGTCTGAACATTAGCGATTCATGTGAACCAAGAAGTGCAGCCACTAGTTTTGCTGCATCCTCAACTAAAACAGTAAAAACTTGACAAACTGCTTCCTGTAATTGATGATTCCCAGCATACGTATAACACCAGTGGTATTTCTTGTCTGTCGGTTGTGTAAAAGCCTTCACCGACTTGCTGATATGAAGGAAACAAACCCCCAGCTGGCTTTTTTCCCGCATTCATATTCCTTTTTTTGGGGGGGTTTTGTTTTGAGCGAGGCTGTGACGCCATGTGGGAGATCATTTGTTGTATAAAAAGCTGTGTCTGAAACAAGCAAATAGGTATTGCCTCACAAGAAAACTTGCCAATATTGTGTATAAACACATATATTACAATGTTTTGACTTTCCTGACACATTCGAGAAAGCCAAAAAACACATAATCGAGAGCCAGTAGCGAGCTTGTACTCTATACGTACTTATTAAATGATGAGCTGTCCGAGCACACGAGCGAGTTTCTCACATTATTTATAGACACTGAAATTACTACATTCGCTTAAGTAACCCACGGTTTACTCCGCGGTAAACTTCATAATCTATGACACAACGACACCCAGGTCACAGATAAATATTAACAAAGCTCAAGACGAGCTGTAGGAGGACTGTGCCTCCACAGGTAGGAACAGGCTCTGTAATTCAGACATACAGTGTGCAGACGGCACGTAGAGAGATAGTGAGCACAAAGACACTCCAGCAGAGAGGAGAGCTTTAACCACTCTACACAGATCTCTCAATTTATCTTGAAAAACGCACACTTCCTGAGTGCTGAAAACGGCTATTAATCTTCAAGTGACACACATACAAATCACTTCACACCTCCAGACACTGCATATTAACCTAAATGTGACGTTTTTGATTAGACACTGGTAAAAACTACCGTATTACTTCCTTGTTACACGTTTTACTGGCTGCAGTTCAACAAGCTCGAAACAAAAAAAAAAATAACTACTTTGATAAATACGAGGCCGGGCCAAGCGTGCAGCTCTTAAACTCCTTCCTATCAACAAACATTTGAAGTACTGAGAGGGAGAAGCCAAAACGAGGCAAAAAAAAACCCCGTCACCACCGAAAGCCTCAACCCCAAAAAAAATTCACTTCCTGTCTTTACATGTGCTCGGGCTGCCCGCTCTCCCTCTCTGCCGGGCCCAGCCCTGCTGTACTGGAATGCAGCTGACAGACAAACGAGCCTCTGTGGCCCGGCCTCTCTCTCTCTCTCTCTTCACAGAGGGATATTATAGAAAGAGGCTGTCAGGTAAAATAAAAGGTATTCATCGGCGGCTGAGTATACCAATGCAGCTGTGGGCTGAACCTTTTACCTGAGCTAGCCTAGCACATCCCCCTACCACCCAGCCACCACCCAGCCGATGTGGCCTCGGGCTGCTTTAAACAATCTAGAAAAGGGCTGTGTGTTTGTGTGTGTGTGTGTGTCACGGAGAAGGAAAAAGGGAGGTTGTTTTGGCGTGTCTGAAGGGGTGAGCGCTGATGCGGAATGGCAGCAAAGACAGGCGGCGGGCTACTCTCCTGTGCTCGGTTCAGAGCAGGGGAGAGAGAGAGAGAGACGGCACAGCGGGCCTCTGACGGAGCACGTTTTATGGGAGTGTCTGTCTGCAGGAATGCACTCCAGGCCAGATTCCACAGCACATTCAGGCTGTACTTGTGGCAATTTGGTTTCTCATCAATACCGTTTGCCCCTTTCTTGACATGATAACATGACTCGTGTTTTTTTTTAATGCACGAAGAGAGAGGGTGTGTGTGTGTGTGTGTGTGTGTCTGGATCTGAGGTAAATCAATTCCAGTCTGGAGCACTTTGGGAAAACATTAGTCATGGTGCAGGTGCATTCAAGATCACGTCCAACGCAGCGGAGCAGTAATGCATCCAATCGAGGGCTGATGTTACTTTAGATAATGTGCTTTGCGTTGCTCTTTCCCTACCTTACCCCCGTCTGTCAACCCCAACGGATAAGCAGGTCTCAACAGGGATTGATTTTCAATAGCCATTCAGACATCCATTACACAAATTATCTACTTATCTACTACTATCTACCAAGCCCCTGCTTTGGTTAAAAAAAAAACAACATATAAACAATGCCATTCATACGCCAAACACTGCAGACCGCACCCACCTGGTCAGTTCAGTGTTACATGCATGCAAAGTTAGTCTAACTGAGTGCAAGCAGCATTCAATAAACCCAAATAATCAACACCCTTACCTTCCTCAAAACTACAAGGGGTGACAGCTACAAGGTGTCTCTGCTAACTCTGAATGTGTTGCTCACATGTGATTTTTTTGGGGGGAGCTGGATGGACTCACTGTGGGTGCAGTTGATGAGATTACCACCTTGACTGAGATTAGGCTTCTGCTTTTGACTGAAAACTAAATGGAGGTGGCTCCACTAATCATCCCTGTCTTTGGATTAGCCAGTGAGCACTGAAGACCTGCAGCCCTGAACAGTGAGGGCTGGTTATGGTTGTATTATCTCTAAAATAATACAAAAAGGAACTTAGTGTCGTAAAGATTAACCCCCTTTAGACCACAAAGGCTGCTTTTCTTGGAGGAAAAAAGGGTTAACTAAACGTTTTAAATCAGTTTTTCTACCAAAAAAAAAAAAAAAAAAAAGGCCCAAACCAGCCTCGGCTGTCGGAAACTGTGTGTGACCGACGTTTTTTTTTTTTTTAAAAGGGTGAATCAATATCGCAACCTTAAGCCATTTTCTGTATAAAAAAAACACAAATAAACTATCTTCTCACAGTTGACATATTATCTGAACATGATACGTGTTTTCTTTTTGTGTCTAAAACGTCGTTTCTGGTCCGCTGAGCCTCCCCCTTCCTTCCTTTCCTCCTCCTTCCTCCTCCTCCTCCTCACCTCCTCTCCTAGACGATAAGCTAGCTGCTAGCTTCGCCTTGCTAGCCAAATACCTGTCCAGCTTCAATTCATTCAAAAAAAAAAAATACATAACGTGAAAAAGGGAGGAGGGCAGTTGGGGGAGGGAGGGGGGTATTTAACAGCTCAAATACACCTAAAAGGGCGCAACAAGAGGAGGAATAACGCACTGAAATATATACAAGAATAAAATATGCTCTCATGTTTCTTACCTTGTCCAGACAATTGACTTTTTCCGTGGGGTAAACGACTAAATTACATCTGCTACACAACGGATTCATGTTGGTAAGGAATGCCTCTTCTGAGCTAAGCTAGCACGGAAACCGCCGATGGATTTGCTGGTTGTTGTAGCTGCGCGCCGTCGAGTCTCCTCTCTTCACAGGGGGGAGAGAGAAGAGAGAGAGAGAGAGAGAGAGGAAAACAACTAGCTATATAGTCTACTGATGTGTGATCAGTGGTTTTTTAGAAAAAAAAAAAAAAAAAAACGCCACACTAATCTGTTTGTATGTAAGCAAAAAAGATCCAGGAGGTTGTTGTTGTCGTTGTAGCCGCACAGCTGGCTGTCAGTCCACTAACCAGACACGGAAAGCGCGCTCCCGCTTTCCCCCCCTCCCCTTCCAATGCGCGTGTCCGAGCAGAAAGGGAAGAGGCAGTGTGGGAGGTTCAGTTTTTAAATTACTTGGAAAGTCAGATTTTTGTGATTTCAAAAAGGGGGGGGAATACATATGCACGTATTGATCTGAGGCTCGAAGTGTTTTGTGCAGCTTTTTGTAAGGAAATTCCAGGTCGATCGTTTGTGCATGTGCAACATGTCTGTCGTCGTCCCATCTGTGCTCTTGCATAGCAAACTCGTAAGATCATCTTTTATTGTTGCATTTTGGAGTAGGGGGGTGGGGGGGGGGGGGGGGGTTTAACCAATCCAGTGATCTGAAATCACATTTTTTACACATCTGCCACGTTCACTGCATGTCCTACTTGGTGTCCGTAGTGATACATTTGGTTAGGGTGACACCTGCTGACAGAAGAGTTGTACTGCCTGTATCCTCTCCTACATAATATGTTCTTTTTTAGGTTTTTTATCCTAAAAGTGGCTGCCTGTCTCCCCCCCCCCACTACAGCATCAAATAATACTGGCATAAAACCACAAATCATAAGCCCTGCGAGCTGGAGCGCTGATGGGGAACTGTGTTAAAATGTTCTTGCAACAACAAAAAACAAAAGGTGGAACTACAAAGAATTAACTTCACCATCGAAGGCAGCAGGAACTGAAACTGAAGGACACCCACGTCTTTATTCGTTTGATGCAAAACAGCATAGTTTATGTATATTTCTAAGGCTTGTCAAACATGTGTCATGTTTTATAAAGTAAAATAAAAAAAAAAACATTTCTAATGAAATCATCCAGTATCATATAACATTCAGCAACCTCATCTTTTTCTGCAACGGAGTCACGAACAGCTTTATATAAAAAAAAAAAAAAAACAACAACCACAAACTGAATCTCTGAAATTGAACTGTTCTGACAAATGTAAATATTTGACTGTTTGTTGAAATCAGTTCAATGTAAATATCTTGTTTATCCAACTTTCCATCCCTCATTTCAACATGGCCCCGCTTCAACAATGCTGTCTTTTTCATGCCCTTCTCCTTCCACTTCTGTGTAGCCAGGTTGTTGCTTCTGAAACTTCCAGGAAGGCCAGTAGTTCTTGCGTCGCTATAAAAACAGAAAAACACAAACACAGAAAAATTATGTTTTAATGCGGACATAAGTAACTACAGTCTGGCTCTCGTCCGGGCCGGATGCACTCACCTGGATGAGGTAAAGCGGCGATGCAGTAGTAGGATGGTAGTTGATGTAAAGAGCGACAAGTATCAGAGCCAGAAGTAACACCAGCGCAGCGGCTATACCGGCTATCACTCCTGTGTTAGCCAGCCCTTCACTCTTGGTTGAAGAGTCTGCCTTCACATCTGTTTTAAAGATGAAACCCCCATAATTATATCCCTTCATAAAACCATAATGACTCTTACAAGTGTTAACTCACCTTTGCCAGTGTTAAATATATGACGTTTGGTCTCATCTGAAATAAAATAGAAAGCAGTCATTTCCACTTGTTTCACTGAGCAACAAAATGTGCCCTTACGGCCAAAGTACATTATAAAGCCCTGTAAAGTAGCTCAGCCTCACCGTAGCTTTCGCAGCCTTTCTGTAGAGGAGTTAAAGAGGTCACGTCCTCGATCTCTGGTGTGATAGAGGAATCGGTGGAGCTGTCGGCCCTGGTGTAATCCTCACAGGTTGCATCTTTGCTCTGCCCGTATACAATATAACAGATGCATGAGTACTAGCAGTGGCAAGTAAGCAGACATTCATCCTTGATATCCAGCAATACCTCGTCTGAACAGGCATAGTCCAACCATTCTTGTCTGTGTCTATCCATGCCATCTGAACACCTAAAACACACAAGATGGGAATATTTATAAGGGTTAAAGCTGCACTGTCTCAACATTTGGGCTAATGTAATGTCCCGCTCACCTCTGGAGTACATTGCACCAGCTGCAACCAGAGGTTAGGTTGGATGTGAGGCAGAGCTCACAGCTGTCGTGTTGCAGGCAAGCTGAACGGACAGACAGGGACTTGTTTGAGTGTTGGTTTAATACATTGAACATTTGAAACTTATCCTTTGATGTCTTTCTATTATTTATCATGCATATGGATTGACCGCTTACTTGGCAGTGCAGTGAACTCCACAGCAGAAAAGCTGGTGATCTTTGTAGTGTCTACCTGAACCCGATGGTACTCGTAAATCGTCCGCTGTTGGTCATCTAGGTTAGAGATGTCACAGGGTTAAACACCTGAAGACTGTCTGAACACTGAGTATGACTTTTTGGGGGTGGTGGTGCAATACATAAGTGGAAAAGCATAAAACATCATTGCTGACCTGGTGATTTAGCAGAAGGTGACGTGACCATGAAGGCATCAGACAAACCGACTGTCACGGGATGCTCAGCCGAACTGATCACATCGAATGGCAGAGGTATCTGATAAACACACAAAAAGAGGGATCACTTATACAGTGCCTGGTGGTGTGCAGTTTGAGTGTTTTTTTTTTTTTTATGAAATGGCTTTCCATAATAAGGAAGAGAACAGGTGCACAAAGCAGAGGTAAATCTCACATCTCGATAGCTGAACGTGATGGTTCCTGTTTTGTAAAGCGCAGCCTGAAATGTAAACGCTCCCTCTGACTCTTTTCCTTGGAGTCTGACCCGCTCCCACTGCACCACAAACACCTCACCTGAAGACAGTGAATGTCAAACAAGAGTCAGACAAGCAGTCAGACAATACGAGAAACCAGAACAAGCTCGTGCGGTACCTTACCATTATCCAGGTATTGTACAGTGGAATCTTTGGAGAAGCTGGGGTCAAAATTAGCCATTAGAGGGGCGATGTACTGTGTTGCGGTCAACATACGGTGAGCAATGTCCCCCATGAAGATAAACCCTGAAAAAAAAGGCCAGATGGTAAAAAAAAAAATAAGGAAGACTTGTTACCTTGCAAAACACTTTCCTGCTTTGAACATTTACAGGAAAGGTCACTCGAACATCTGCTATAAAATCAAAAAGTACCTCCTGTTGCTATGGTAATCTGCCTCAGGTAATGTCCATAAAAAGGAAAGTCAAACGACAGGGCAACCCTCTGCAAAGAAAGATAGATAGAGAGGGAATGAGATGTTTTAATACAGATTTATATGTCATTTTAAAGTCAACTAAATCCGCAGTTCACATAATGCAGCCTCTTGTTTTGAGGTTATGTTTTGGGTTGCTCTTAAAGGAGGAGGAAGAGAAAGAGCCAGTTTGTACTGCTCTGAGATGGAATAAGGAGGCTGGTAATGCTTCCTTGAAAAAAGCTATGTTTTGTTTAATTTCTCTTATTGAAAGGTCATTTTTATACATTTTAGAATACAAAACTTGCTCACTGACTAATGCCACCACCTGTATGTGCAGTCAATCTATTTATGATCAGCAGTTTCCTGCAATACACCTTCAACGCATTTACATTCTGTTGTTAGCTCTCTATACATAGTAGTTTTCTTTGGTGGTGGCGGAGTCCACCATTGTCCTACTCCATTCAAATTGCCTACCAACATAGGAGGGATTAAGCACTCCATTGTCAGCATTCAACCATTGAAGCTCTATAATGCTGACTTGGTTGACTCATTCATTACTGTCAGTTGGAGAAATCAATGTAAACTCTGACTGTGTGGTACTTAAACATAAATGAGAGGACACCCAGATTTGAACCAGGGACCTCTTGATCTGCAGTTAAATGCTCTACCACTGAGCTATATTCCCACCATTTTTCATCCTCTTATAAATATAAATTGTTTACACAGCACTTACGTACACTAGCAGGCTGCACTTCGGCCTTTACAAGCAGCCGATCTGCAATAAACATTTCTCTCAGCATGCAGTCTGATGTAACTATTTTGCAAAAATCTTAAAACATAGACACAACTTGGCTGTGTAGGAGCGGGTCATTGAGGTTACTGGGTGTGAACTTGTAAACAGATATTCTGCTAAATAACTGAGACCCACAACGCCATGATTAAATTCTAAGAATCAACAGTATCGGTCTCAAGATCTGTAGAGCAACTGGGAAAAACCAACCCTGCTGTGACCAGTGATAAAGATAATTACCCTCGAGTGCAGCTTTAGCTGTATCATAATATACTAAAGACACCTGTCTTTTGATTTCCCAAACTGCAAGGACATTTTTCTTCTTAGCTTCATCCATTTACAGTCTGAGATAAGAACTGATGCTTCCTTCAACTGCTGCTTCTCCAGCTATAGCTGTAACCTGGATTGGATGTTTCTATACAGCCAAAGTACTCTGTTTTCCACCTGGAGTTTTCCTTTCCTGTGCCTGATCCACCACATCTTTTCCATATTGAAGTGAGCTGTATAACACAGGTCCCAGATGTTAGACAATAGAGGTCAAGACTGGGCAGGTGCTGACAGCCTCTGGCAGGCCTGTAGCTCTTGGCATGTACCAACAGTCCCTGAGCTCCCCTAGCAGTGTTACCTTATGTTACAGACTGAACTTCCTGAATGTAAGGGCAACATTTCAGGATATTCTCCTTTGACAAATGCAGAGACTTTTAGTTGCAGCACTGCTGAGTGCATGGATTTCACAAGGGATATAGAAATAATGAGTATTGGATGTTTTTTTTTTTCTCTATGTCAATCATCAATTCATTGATTCAGTAAATACTCATTGCTCAGCTTAATTACCCTGTTCTGTCAATGACCATTTTAGAGAATGATAGACTACTTCAAAGACATACTGCATGGCATTGCAGGTAGGGGGCAACCAGAGTTGAACTGGGGACCTCTTTATCTGCAGTCAAATGCTCTACCACTGAGCTATACCCCCTCTGTACAGAACAGAAAGTTCCCATTGCTTATTGGTAAATGTTTCTAAATGACTGACAAATATAAGAGAGCAGGGTATTCATCAGTATGTTTTTAATGCCATAAGTTAACACTTTAAGCCTTTCTTTTTGTGGCACAGGGGGCACCCAGATTTGAGCTAGGGACCTCTTGTACTGCAGTCAAATGCTCTATCACTGAGCTATACCCCCTTACATTTTAAGCTGTTTCCCATTGCTTGTTGGTAAATGTTTCTAAATAACTAACAAATAAAAGAACAATAAGTTTTTAGTGCCATAGGGGAAAACTTTAAGCATCTCCCTTTGTGACACAGGGGGCACCCAGAGTTGAACTGGGGACCTCTTGATCTGCAGTCAAATGCTCTACCACTGAGCTATACCCCCTTACATTTTAAGCTTTTTTCCATTGCTTGTTGGTAAATGTTTCTAAATAACTAACAAATAAAAGAACAATAAGTTTTTAGTGCCATAGGGGAAAACTTTAAGCATCTCCCTTTGTGACACAGGGGGCACCCAGAGTTGAACTGGGGACCTCTTGATCTGCAGTCAAATGCTCTACCACTGAGCTATACCCCCTCTATGCATGAATGCTTTCCCATTGTTTTTTGATAAACATTTTGTATTTGTAACTTACAAATAAAAGAATAGAGTATACTTGCTGATATGTTTTAGTGTCGTAAAGGAAACATTGGTGCACATATCACCTTTTTACACAATAATAGATTAATAGGGCAAATGGGAAAACCAACCCTGCTGTGACCAGTGATAAAAAGAATTAGCCTCGAGTGCAGCTTTAGCTGTATCATAATATACTAAAGACACCTGTCTTTTGATTTCACAAACTGCAAGGACATTTTTCTTTTTAGCTTCATCCATTTATAGTCTGAGATAAGAAGTGCTGCTTTTCCAGCTATACGTGTAACCTTGGATGTTTCTATAGAGCCAAAGTTTTTCACCTGGAGTTTTCCTTTCCTGTGCCTGATCCACCACATCTTCCCATATTGAAGTGAGCTGTATGTACTGTATGACACAGGTCCCAGATGTTAGACATTAGAGGTCAAGTCTCTAAGACCACTATAAAGAGGTACTGTGCAACATTGCAGGTAGGGGGTACCCAGAGTTGAACTGGGGACCTCTTGATCTGCAGTCAAATGCTCTATTACTGAGATATACCCCCTCTGTACAGAAAGTGCCCATTGCTTATTGGTAAATGTTTCTAAATGACTGACAAATATAAGAGAGCAGGGTATTCATCAGTATGTTTTTAGTGCCATAAGGGAACGCTTTAAGCCTTTCTCTTTGTGGCACAGGGGGCACCCAGATTTGAACTAGGGACCTCTTGAACTGCAGTCAAATGCTCTACCACTGAGCTATACCCCCTTACATTTTAAGCTTTTTTCCATTGCTTGTTGGTAAATGTTTCTAAATAACTAACAAATAAAAGAACAATAAGTTTTTAGTGCCATAGGGGAAAACTTTAAGCATCTCCCTTTGTGACACAGGGGGCACCCAGAGTTGAACTGAGGACCTCTTGATCTGCAGTCAAATGCTCTACCACTGAGCTATACCCCCTCTATGTATGAATGCTTTCCCATTGCCTTTTGGTAAACATTTTGTATTTGTAACTAACAAATAAAAGAATAGAGTATACTTGCTGATATGTTTTAGTGTCGTAAAGGAAACATTGGTGCACATATCACCTTTTTACACAATAATAGATTAATAGGGCAAATGGGAAAACCAACCCTGCTGTGACCAGTGATAAAAAAAATTAGCCTCGAGTGCAGCTTTAGCTGTATCATAATATACTAAAGACACCTGTCTTTTGATTTCACAAACTGCAAGGACATTTTTCTTCTTAGCTTCATCCATTTATAGTCTGAGATAAGAAGTGCTGCTTTTCCAGCTATACGTGTAACATTGGATGTTTCTATAGAGCCAAAGTTTTTCACCTGGAGTTTTCCTTTCCTGTGCCTGATCCACCACATCTTCCCATATTGAAGTGAGCTGTATGTACTGTATGACACAGGTCCCAGATGTTAGACATTAGAGGTCAAGTCTCTAAGACCACTATAAAGCCGTACTGTGCAACATTGTAGGTAGGGGGCACCCAGAGTTGAACTGGGGACCTCTTGATCTGCAGTCAAATGCTCTACCACTGAGCTATACCCCCTTGCACATGAGCAATTTCCCATTGCTTATTGGTAAATGTTTCTAAATAACTGACAAATAAATGATCAGAGTATATTTGCTGATATGGTTTTAGTGCCATAAGGGAAAGATTGGTGTACATATTATATTTTTACACATAAGGTAAAGAATTAAACTTAACTCCTTGTTGCACAGGGAGCACCCAGAGTTGAACTGGGGACCTCTTGATCTGCAGTCAAATGCTCTACCACTGAGCTATACTCCCTGTAACAGTGGTCTCCCAATTCTGACATTCTGGCAAACAACCATTTTGAATTATGGCTTTGAGGCTTTCCTCCTGTGACAGATGAAGACTCAGTTAGTGTCTGGTTTGTAACTGCTGCAATGTTGGACTCGCTCACCAAGAACACAGGAAAAAGAGAGTTTAAGAGCATTAAGATTTCCTGGCTTCCATTATAATCCACATTTGGAAACATCCCATCCCATCCCATACACTTGCATGTGCAGTCAAATGCTCTACAATTGAGATTTGCTCTACAATTGAGATTTACCCCTTAAGAATATAGAATATAATAAAGACAAAACCAAAAACAATAAGAGAGTACAGGTATCTATTTAAGTGCGTGTATTTTTGTTTGTGTGAGACTTACCACAGCCTGCTTGTATGAATTTGACAGAATGCCATGGACTCTAACTTGGCCATGCTGGATGTCACTCATGTCTACCCATAGTTCCTGTGTGCGCTGGTCTTCTGGGCCAAAGCAACGCCATGTGTAATACTTGCCAGAGTCCTCCTTTCAGACAGAAAAAACACAGCGGACCAGAGGTTGTAATGGTGTGACTGTGTTCAGAGAGTGTGTCATATAGGCACCAAGGGTTCACTCTGCACATGGTTAAACCCATATGCTGTCATATACTTCTGAGTATAAAGAGTAAATTATACTTTCCAGAAGAGGGCAGTGTTAAACTCCAACTAAAACAAATGGAACACGTGAAAAGCCAAAAACATAATAAATGCCACAAGACATTATGGTCACTGTGGTGCAGGACTCACCACCATGTGTGTCATGTTGTCTGGCAGGGTGTCGATGGTGAGTCCTCCACCCAGGACCGCCCTGCTCATCCTAACGTGGCCTGAAGTCGACCTCTGAGCTCTGTGAGGATGACTGCCACCTCCGGTTGACTCTTCATGTGGCTGTGAGATCACACTGTACCAATTTTCTGTCCAAAATAATGAAAATCAGGTTATTATGTTGAGTTGATCATTATGGGATGTGATGATATAAGCACTCTTTCTAACATGTCAGCTGACGCATTTCAAATGCTAAACCCACTGATTCCCGCACCCTCATTTCAATATAAAAAGAGCCTGGCAGCAGTACCACATTGTGTCGGGAAGCATTTCCGATGCCAGTTTTATTCAGACTCTTGAATAAATGGTAAATGATGTTTACAGTTGCGGCTCAGTTCTCAGCCAATCATCCAAATGAGAAAATAAAATGTGCTTTTCTTAGCCTTGTCAGTTAAAGCCATTGTTGAATGAAGACAAAAACAATACAAATAACATTTAGTGATGCTCGGAAGGAGCTGTCAAACCATGCAAACAATGTAAACCATATTTGGTAAGCAAACTGGGGTAGGTATACTTTGTTTCAAAGTTTTGGGTGTTTTAATTGATGGCTTGTCTTTTCCTTCAAGCCACATATTCCTAGCTGATGTTAGGAGTTTATTTTACTGCAGTGCCACAGTGGTTTCCTATTGAGTGTAGAAAATGTATGTCTGCTGGTTTATTTAGATGTGGACTTGGACATCTTTGTCCTTGTGCAACCTCAGTCTGATACAGCTGTACATTTGGAGCATTACAGGGAAAAATGTCTTGACTGAGCTCCCAAGAGTAATTTCTGTTGTTGGTAGTCAAATCACAGGCAAGTTATATGTTACAGTCTGCAGAAATGTACATCTAAGGAACTGGTTGTGAGTTTAATTCAGCTGATTGATAAATAATGAATCTATTAAATAATTATTAAATATTTTCCTTGTTGTTTCATGGTAAGTATGCTGTTGTGTACTTTCTTTTTATGTGCATACCACTTTTTTTTTTAAACACTTGCAGTGTTGTCTTGTGTAAAATATAATGATCAAAGAATTCACAATTAATAAATTATGCAAGGAAGGCTGAAATTTTAGCAAGATTAAAAAATATATTCGGCTTCCACAAAACAAATCTGCTCCGTTCTGTGAAACGAAGGCAAAAACAAGTTTGCTTTTAGTATCCAGAGTTTACTGTTGTGTAGAAAAATGTCCACTCAATCAATGGTCGTCTGTTTCCACAAGATTGTTGATAAAAGAGATTAAGTGTGCGTTTAAAAAACTGTGAAGACTATGTAATGAGACACAAATGTATGGTAGACACATGGCAAGAACTATCCATTGTTTTCAAGATGAACAAAAAGGCATGCATAAATTGAAGTGACCTTATTTTGGAGATCCTGCAGCCAATAATGAACATTCAGACCTCAGTTTGACATGACTCCCAAATTTCTGGCAGCCTGTTTAATGTTTATTTCCAGGTTGCCAAGGTAGCATCATAACATACATTTATAAGGGGGAATTTTGCCAGATAATACTCAAGGACAGTGATTCCCAGCCAGGGGGTCGTGAAAGCTTCATGGAGGCCTTATTGATGTTAACGCGTATAAGGAAACTAAACGAAAATTTACAAAGTAGGCCAATATCGCAGCATTTGGTTCACTTCTGTGAAGAAAAGTAAATGTAATGTAAATTGTTTAATAAAACAATGGCCAAGCACCAGGGACAAGAACACACTTAAAGAAGCCTAGTAAGTCTGCATGATTGTTAAAATGATTAAATAATATAATACAGACAGAAAATTGTGCAATATCTGCTCATAATTCAGCCAAATCACTTGTTTTACACAAACTTATTGCAGTTACTGAGTTCACTATTCTATCACTGTCACTAATAGTATACAGTTTTAAATGTGACATGAAATATCTGTAAAAAATGTCACTTAAGTCGGGGTCGTCAGTTTACTTAATGGTAGAAAAAGTTGGGAGATAGAGGATGACACGCAGCAAAGGGCCACGGGTCGGAGCCATGGCTGCTGCAACAAGGACGCAGTCTCAGTACATGGGGCTCCACGAGGTAGATACAATATATATATATATATATATATATAATTTGTAAACTCTGAAGACCTGAGAACAAGCTGTATTCACAGAGTATTCACTCTCTGATAAACAGCCGTTAGAAAAGGCCAGTTAAAACAACCAAAGAGCGAATTGACCAATGACAAAAAACTATGAATTTTTGAAAGGAAAAAGAAGAATAAGATTATTATTATTATTATTATTATTATTATTATTATTAAGTATGTATGATTGTAAAAAAACAAAAACAAAATACAGACAGTATTTACAGGAAAAAATCTTCCAAATCGCTCGTTTTACACAAACATCCTGCAGTTATTGTGTTTGTTGTACAAATCATCAGTTGTTCTGATAATATTGTTAAGCATTAAAATATAATACTTTTTTTTCTTTTTTTAAATCCATAAAATATGTCACTGGGGGTCATCAGTTTACTCAAAAAAGGGGGGAACTACTTCTTTAGGGGCCCTTGTCTTTTGTGGAACATTACGCTGACTGATCGGCGGTTACGTCCTCTTTTACGTACGTTACGCGGTGACGTCACGCCGCAGCCTTGTATAAATACCCCGCAACGGGCGCCCTACCGTTCGCGGGGTGTCTCCTCTAACCCTAAATCAGGGCGGCCTCCTGTACTGATCGTTCGCTGTTTTTTTTCCCTCCTCTCTGGCTTTCAGCGAACTACAGGAGGCGTGTTAGAGATGGCCGTTGGGAGCGTTTACGAACAACAAGAGAGATTTAAATTAAATTTAAAAGAAAAAAGCCGAGAGGATCACTCCGCCGTGTTCAGTGTCCCGGTCAGGAAGCACCGAGATCCTCCCGCCGCGGTTAGCTCGGCTGCCGCGAAGAGTTCGTCTCTGCTGCTCCGGTGTCTTCCTGTCGGGATCGTACTTTATTACATTGTAAAGCAACTGAGCAGAGTAAACCTGAGCACGGTGACTCTGCCGGACCCTCCCCGTGGTCTGGCTGGGAAGCCTAAGCTCAAACATTTGTTAACTTTTCACTTTAATCCGTTATTTGTTTGCGTGCTAACCGCTAGCTTTAACTTTAGCATTATTATTAGCATTAGCACCGCCCCCCCCCCTCAACCAGAGGCTTGTATCTGTGTGGTAACTCCAGTATTCTGCCTTTAAAACTACTTTAACAACTAAATAAAGAAGATTAAGGATTAAGTGGAAGTTGGTGAAGTTCTTGTTTTGTTTGTTTGTAACTTCAAGTAATAAACAGGCATCATCAGTGGTTGCTAAGCTATACACAACAACAACAACTCCATCCAAGTAGCTTATGTTCACAGAAAAGAGAGATAAAAGTAAAAATTGACCTTTAAAATAGAAGTTAAGTCAGCTTAAAGGTGGCTTAAATATATATAGTTTAAAATCTTGAGGTAATTCTCTTTTTCAAGTTGTTTTTAAGGATTTAAATTTGTCTTTGCTAAATGCCACAAAGCTTGCAGCAACTTTAAAATCTACATGTGGATGTAAAATTAAAAAGTTAAAAGAGCAACTCTTAAATATTTTAGCTAAATGTGGGCCAGTAGTGTGCCGCTAGACTTTAAAAATAAGCAATACGCCGCTGCTAGTAAACATGTTTTAACTTTATGCCTCCGTACAAAGTGGAATTCAGCCTCCAGTTCACATTTTAGACGCTATAGTTTTACTTATTTTTTTAGTTTTAGAAGCATTTTACATGAAAACAAACGACACGCTTTGACCGGTGCCATGTTATTCCACTGAGCTGGGAGCTGGAGCCACCTGTGTCCAGCTCTCTAACCTCACACACCTGATTCAGATCAACTGTAATGTCATCCCAACTCCCATGCAGCGCATTAGTGTTGTGTGTCCACATCATGAAACACACCAGGTTATTTAAATTTGGAAAGTATTTGCTTGTGCAATGTCTGAAAACTCTGCCAGCACAGATTTCTTACTTGGTTTTGAGTGCTTAAAAAATAGATAAAACGTCTCAGAGTGAGAGGGTAACGACGTTTACATTCAATAAAATGTTTGTGATAAAGCCGGATGTTGAGGTTTGCAAAAACCTCATGAGTTTATAATTAACTTCCTACAGGGGACCAGGGGTGTGGCTCACCGGGGTGTGAAAAATGTGTCCAACCACATTAAAATACAAAGTGTATTCTACTTTATTCGTCTCAAAATGGACATGAAAGGACTTATTTTTCAGGTTCAGTTCAACCGGACTGACCTGCCACCTGAAACAGGCAACTAAATTCAGACGTAAAGACGTTTTAAACATGTTTTCAAGCCTAAAAAAAAGTCAGAGCTTGCAGGCAGACCTCCCACTCCCTCTCCCACGTTTACTAGCACATGTTAATGAGAAAAGTAAATGACTAGAACTTAATCCTCCTTCTTCTTTGCAGTTTAACAGATGTTCATTGTTAAACAGAAAGTAGTTTAACCAGGGAGCCTCGGGCTCAATAAGGCATTTAACCTAACAAACACACACATTTATCTGACATATTTAGCTTCTAAACACGTTCTTATGGGTGCCAGTACCCAGTGCAGCTCCTCTTATGCCAGTGAAAGTTGACATTGGTTTGGATCCTGAGTGTGGGAGGGAAAACGCAGGCCTGGTTTGGTCCCTCAGCCTTGTCCTGTGCCAAACCCCCAGAGTTCAGACTCTGTGGGACTTTGGCTAAAACACCACTCACACAATTATAACACTGATTTCTTCCACAGCCATGCGTCACTTCACCAGTTTCTGAAGTGACAGCTCAAATGTCTTGACCTCACGGGGGAGCTTATTGTATTTGTTCATCAGAGTGTTTCTCACTCCGCCTCTTTGATTCAATTAAGTGGTGCGTCAATGCATTCGTGGCAGCTTGTATGTTAAAACCTAGATGTGTGATTGCCGAGCACCGGATCCGCCCTGTTATGGCATCTTATGAGGTAAGAGGAGGATTGGTGTTCGCAGTTGTTGAGGTCTGCAGTGCAGCAGATAAACATTATTCTGGTTTATAAAAGCAGGGAGGGGTGCAGACGCTCAATATGAAGTTGAGGCTTATAATGTCTATCTCAGGTCATCGCTCCAGTAGAGTATTGAAATCGCTGGCAGATTACCAAAACAGTGAGATGGGGAGTCGTATTGTCTCGGCTGTCCAGGAGAAACTGACAAAAACTCCCCTCTCCACTTATCTATTTCCAATTATTCACTGGATTTCACATATTCTGAGATCTTATTACACTTATCACACAACATATAGCATTAAGAATAAATAAAGAAAATGATACTAGGGGTTTTATTGTGTGTGAAAACTCACCATTCTGAAATTCTTGATTGATTTTCAGGGTAGAAACATGAACAACACTAATCTTATTGTAAAATTGAACATTTGGTTGCTTCTGAAATACATATTGATACCTTAAAGTCAGTAATGGCCTTATGATTACATGAACAATTAGTTTCCCCACCATTTACACCTATTTGTAGTCTTTAGAATTGAGATAAAACTTCTTAACTTTACTTTAACTTCTACTTTTGACTGATTTAAATGGTGATTTGATATTTAGAAGTTTTCAAACACATATCTAAACATACAGCTAACAGTCTGTATATGGTCCACACACTGCACATTTTCTTTCATAAGTTCCTGTGTATATGATTAAATACCCCCCCCTCCAAACAAATCCAGCGGGAGAGGATTGCAACAGAATACCTAAGTGGTGAACCAATATCAAGATGGGCCTTCATTTGTTTTGCACGTGTTGCTCATCTTTTAGGAAAAGAACAGGGAGCTGCCTCAGCTAAAGCCTGAGAATAGATTATGGATTTTCTCCCTGAGCGCAGCAGCCTGTGCCAGTCTAGAAATGTCGCTGATGAGTCAGAAAGTGACAAAGTTGGTGGTTTGTTAAAGCGGCGCTTGGTCAAGAACCCAGATTCAGTATGTTTGTCTCAGGGTGTAAATGCTCTCAAACATTTTGAGGCAAAGTATACGTGAAAGACCCGGTAATGTAAACCAGGAACCACTTATATTTTCTCAAATATCTGCAATGAAAGGGCAGATGTTTTGTACAGAAAACTGACCTCTGCCCACTCTTTTAGGAGCTACCAAGCCACGACATTTAGCTGCCTTTTTCTGTGAGCGGTCAGCTCGGAGCGGTCTGAGAGAACACGCCCTTCCTGAGCAGAGGCTGGAGGAGCTGGCACGAATTCCTCAACATCACCCACAATAAACATGTATAGTTAATTTCAAGGCGTGTGGTTGAATTGCAGATGGTGCAATTCTTTAGTTACATTCCCCTGAAAAATAGTTTCATCCAGACAATCAGGCCACTTCTGGTCTTGGAGATTTAAAGTAAAGAAATATTGTTTAGCTGAACTCCTCGACCTTCTTTATTAAATAGCTGAAAAGCTAATAAGGTGGTACATGTCTTTGTATGTACTTTGGCCGGTAAGTGAGCTGCTGACATACAGCAACAATTACTGTGGTAGTAATGCTTTGAGAGGCGCCTCCTTTAATAAATAACACACAGTTAAGAAATGACAAATTTGATTTATAACATCCCTAAGAGGGTGCAACAAAGTTACATTTCACAATAAAACTATTAAGACTTTCCAATTTTGGTCAAGTCATGTTAAGAGAGTGCACTGATTGCCTCATTTTTTTCCCCCCTGTTATGGTGAAAACAAATCTCTCCACGGAAGAGGTAAAAACCTTATTTGCTTATCTTTTCATAGTTTGATAAGAGAATTTCAATGAAGTAGACAGAGTTCGAGCCAAAACGATTTCCCATACAAACGCTGTTCACAATTACAACATAATCCAAAGAACAAGTTGCTCAGCTGCTGGCAGACAACAGTTCTTGCTCTTTTATTTTTCCTAAAACACAAGCATGCTTTGCTTTCACAAAGTCAAATTGCACATGACTTTTATAAAATACGAGTCGAGCTGGGATCCACAGACAATAACAACCTATCTTTGATTCAATCTTACAAAACAATCTTCTTCGCTTTGCTTCTCATTCTTCCAGTCCATGCTTCGCTCCAACATGTCTGGCTCAGCTTCAGGCCATTTCTTAAGAAAACTTCTCAGCAGGACGGAAGACAAGAGGCCAAACGGTGAGGTCATTGCCGGGTACACAATTCATTTTCAGCTCAGGGCTCTGTGTTTATACAGTCTGGTTCAGTTGGTGTGGATGGCTCTCTCAGGACCAAAGTCGTTTTTTAAAAACAGAGTAGTATTTAATGTAGAGTGACAAGGCAGATAAGAGCAAATTAGGCACAGGAAGGGAGGATATGCTGGGTTAACACCGACAGCTGACCCCTTTTGTCTCAAGCACAAATCTGAGCACCTCCTGCCTCATCTGTGATGTTGTGTTATCTGCAACATATTCCCCCAGTGCAGAAGAGCTCTCCTGAATATTACTAAAATGAAAAAAAAAAAAAAGACTAATATTAAATTTAATATTGAATCTCTGTAGACAGCTGATAAGTTGAGTGTGGCGGCCGCAGAGGAGTTTGTAGAGAGTGAGCAGTAAAACTCCTCGGATCTATAAATGATTTATTATGAATGTCCCTAACACACCTCCTGCATATCACTTAAAAAAACATATCACAAATCCACTCTCCTCAAAAACCTCCTACAATTTTCTGTCTAGCAGGGAGGCCAGAAGAAAAACAAAGTCTATATCTAATTTTAAACCTGAGACAGGCTGTTTGTGGGTTGTTGTTTAGACTCACTCGCATGCTTGTGGACGAGGGTATTTTTATTGTACACTTTATTGTAAACTAGGTCATTCACTTGTTGTGCGTAAAATTGAAAAGGGCATGGCATGCCCATTTGCCGTACCATAAAGAGTCCTACTGAAGTTTTGTGGTTTTATTGTGAGTTAAAATAGAAACAGTAGCACACACAAAGTGAATATACATAATATATATATATATAGGATTAATTAATAAGAATATTCCTTTGACTCAAGAACAAATGGCTGTGACTGGAAAATTATGTTGCATCCAGAGTTCAGTTGCACAAACCAATTGAACAAAAGATAAAAAAAACCTGTGAACTTAAAGCACCTGTGTGACTTTAAAGACCAGACAGGAGGCTGAGAGCACAGATGGAAATATTAACAACTCACCTGTTTGCTGTTGAACCCAAACTCTTGCCAGCTCGGTTTGGGAGAGACAGAGGAACAGCATCACCAAGCTGAAACACATGTTGGGCAGCAAAAAGACAAAAAAAAAAAAAAAAGAAAACCCAAAAAATTTAAATTACAAAAAGAACCACAGCTTCGTCTCAGCTCCTCTCTTCTTCCTCCTCCTCTTCTTCTCTGTGCAAGAACTGTTTTGTCTGATTCCCACTTCCACTCGTCACTCTCTTTCCTTTTTCTCTGAATCTCTAAGCTCCCTGCACACACACACACACACACACACACACACACACACACACACACACACACACACACACACCACCCTGTTTCTAACTACACCCTTTCTCTCTTCCTCATTGCCTGTTCATCCGTTGCCATGGTGATTACAAAAGACACAAGGATCAGCTGATGAGGCTTTGGAGCACACATTAAAAAGACCTGCACACTGACTTATCATCAGTCTATTTTCTAAAATGATGCCTCCAGTGTAGTTTCCCTTTTGGATCCCAGCTAACATCTCTCCCATCATTCTGAGAGCTAAAGGTATAAATAGGACCATCCGCCGTACTGTAGCGCATGGCGCCTCCCTCTGTCCAAACCAGCTGCAGGGACAGTGAGAAATCTGACAACTGAGATTAGACATGGTGATCATGATGCATACAATGCCAGGCCTGGAATCTGTGCAAGTTATGATATTACACATTCCACAGGGAAGTCTTGTTTATGACTCCTTAAAACAGTGTGTCTCTATTCTAACAACAACATCCTTTTGTGGGCCACATGGAACAAAAAAAAAGTCTCTTTGTTGCAGATTAATTTCCAGTGGTTTTGTAAAAAAAAAAGCCTTGTTTTTTGTTTTTATGGCATGTAAAACTGACAAAAAAGCGAGCTTTGTAACGAGCACTGTGGCTGACTCCACCACCTCTCTTAACCACAGCTTTCATCATTTTTTTCCTATCTGCTACAAGAGCAAACACGAAATCCCTGGCAAAGAAAATGGCAGCTGAGCGTTTATTGGATTCACAGCTGGAAAGGCAATCAGTACCCTGTCCTATAATGCACACCATAAACACAGCGTACAGTGTGGATTTTCACACAGAGAGCTCATGCTGACTTTAAACAAGCATATAAACACACAGAAGTTGGAATAAGTCTCATTTTCACACATTTAATGCCTCCCTGTTGTCTGAAAGTTAAAGATGAGCGTAAAGCAAAGGGGATACAGAGAAGCATATTAGTCAGAAAATAATGTGAATAGTGACAGTTAGAAGTATATAAAATGAAAAAACAAGAACGGAAATAATAAAAATAGAAGTTTTTTCCCATTGACATGTGCATTATTCCTGTTCCTGTGTAAAACATCTGAAGTTGAAGCTAATATGAGGCCTCAACAATCTGAGTAGAAAGAAATTAATTGGTTATCTTACAAATTATATTTTTTTGCTGAGCTGCAGCAGACATAAAGACATAAAGGAATAGGTCAATATAAAGGCTCTGGAAGCCTCATATAGGCTTAAGCTAACATTTTTTTTTTTTTTTTTTACTGAATTTGCTTTAAAAAGAGATTTTTTGAATGAGCAAAGCATCTCAATCTCACATTCCAGTTGGTCCGTGTGATCTGTTGGTATCAGTATCAACCAGAACATATCATGAATGTGTCTGGGAGATAGGATTTCATCAGACATGTTTATGTTCTCTAGATCGGCTCCACTGTCAAACTGAAAACAACCCTCGAAACACCCCAGGGGATTTAGACAGAAATGAATGCATAGAGGGGAGAAAAGCTTGCAATAGCATACAATAATTCATCTCAAGTTCTTGGAAAAGGTTACATAAAATGATTTGAAAGTCCAAAAAGGCCAGGCTTCAGTGTAAACATCCAGAAGGGACATCTCCTCAGCTGGAACATGTTAACTTGATTAACCTGCCTGGGAGCCGTAGGAGTGACTCATCTATCATATTGTGCTTCATATCTTTTGCTCTCAGACTTCATTTATTCACATTTACTATATTCATACTGCAGTTCATATAGCCGCAGCTTAGTTAAATTTACTTGTGTCAGAGTATTGTCACAACCGACACAGCAACAGTGTGCTCTTTACTGCATGTGTCCAGCTCTCTGTATATAATAACTATATGTTTACTGCCATTTTTAGCTTTGATATTCTTGTTTAGCTCAGTGTAAAACACATTTCAGATCTCTGTATTGTCAGTGAAAAGGAGTATGGCTCTATGAACTTGATGATTATGAACATTAAATTCAATGATATGAAAAACACACTGGTTTTCAATTGCAATTTCAATCTGAATATTTAGAAAAATGTTGTCTCTGAAGCTTCATTGTGGATGCAACATGATTAAAATGTAAAGAAATAACATGTTTTCTAATTACACTTTAATAAAAATTTACTTTAGGCTAGTAAGTAGTTTACAGATTGATTTATTTATTCCACTGATTCCCAACCAGGGGTAGTAGTTAGCTTTGGACACACTACAAACACTCGGTTACCTCGTTTAGATAAGTGCTATACAAATAAAGTTATTATTACATGACTTTCAAAGTTAGGTGCCAAGGGGAAGGTGTACTTGGAACGACTGTCATTACAGAACAAGCAGAGAAGTGCATAAATGGTTGATGGATAGCTAATTATCCATGACTTCTAGTAGTAATGAATAAATAGATTGCCAAAAGTAATAGATAATGGTTGAAATCTTTATCTGGAGGTATTTAAAGTGGATATAATACTGTAGATTGCTTTAAGTAATGAACAAACTTGTAATAGTTAGCCTAAACCCTTAAAAAAAAAAACATTTTGTTCTACAACCTTGTATTACATAACGATAATAATACACTGTGAATGTAAACAAACCTAAACGTTTACAGTTCAAGTGTATAAGAAACTACAACCTAATGGTAAAAATGACGTCATCCCGTCGCTAGGGGGAGACTGTCTGCTGTTAGTTACAGCAACAGTACATGTAGACACAAATGTGGGCTCGTTCCTCCGCCTAGTGGTCAAAATGATTAAACAACAGTTAAATACCAACACATGTCGAACATTTAATAACAAAAAAATGTATCAGTGCTCCGCTATATAGCTACGCAATGCTATATATTATCAATACAAATGTCCGGATGAGCAAACTTTTACATCATGGGTAAATAATAGTTTCACGACAGATGTCAGCGCAAGGGGGTATAGCTCAGTGGTAGAGCATTTGACTGCAGATCAAGAGGTCCCCGGTTCAAATCCGGATGCCCCCTGAGGTGTATTTTTTTTTACCTCATGAAATAAATCTCCCTCCGATAGAAAGTAGATCTCAAAAGCCATATAAGGATGTTAATTCCCGCTATAAAGTTATTTTTACTCCGCATGTCTGCGTGAAGACAGGCAGAGAAATGTATATACTGCCAGGCCTTGTTGAGCAACTGTAACTGTAATTCATTATAGTTACAGAAAAAAAACTATGCATAATCACATTACAGTTACAGTTGCATCAATACTTGGCGGGAATGAGAGTGTAGGTGCAGTACTCCACCACCCTTAAATAGTATGCTGCGTATTGTTTGTTGGAACAAAGAATATTAAAGCTGCAGGATATAAAACACACCCAGCACATATTTGCAATAATAATATTTATTCAAAAACTTTACACAGTACAATACATACTTTAAAATATGACTCATAATCCTTAGCAGCTAGCTCCTTTTTCCTATTGCTGTAATAGACAGTAAATACTTCAAGAGCTTTGTTTTAAAAAAAAAAAAAAAGAAGAAATAAACATCTTTAGGTCTAACAAAAGTGTGCAGTTGTTCAGTGGCATAATACATCAACAGCTGGGAGGGAGGCCACAGGAGCAACAGCATGTGCTTACAGTTTCTTCCCAGTTACTGTGTAATCGATACGAGGCAGCTACTAAACTCACTTTGTGACTGAAAAGCTGTTTTGCAACCAGCGAGGTAAATCAAGATCGAAAGTAATCGGTGACGAGAATCGACAATCAAAGGTCATAATGAGATCATGATTGTCACACTCAGAGAGAAGTTAAAGGCCAACTCAAATTTTAATATGAGAAAACTCTTTATCTGTAAAAATAAAATATGCTCTAGTGTTCAATCTGTGATCATGTTTTTAAGATGTTGTATTATTTAAGTGAAGGCTGTAACATCTTTGGCACTCGTTCTTCAGTTCTAATGAAAAATAAAACTTGTTTAACCTCAGTGATATGAAATAAACACGGAGACCAGCGTGTAATGTGATATTACTGGTCAGGTGAGGATATTTTTTATAAACAAACAAGGTCCACCTCACCAAAACACCTCTTAACAGGGCAGTAAACATTTTCCAGTTAACCAGATTATTATTGCAATAAAATAAAAACCACAAAGCGGGTTTTTAGAAAAGTACAAAAAATCAACACCTGGAATCTGGATTGACTGATATTTGGCTGGGGAGGGGAAGCGTTCCCCCGACTGTAAAGTCATCCAGGTTCCTCTGTGGCTCATCCACCCGGAGGCTGGTGCAGACTCTCACACAGCTGGGTAAGACATACTGTAGGTGTGGCAGAGACAGGCTCTATCTCAGGCAGGCGCCATGTTCACAGGACTTTGCCCCCCTCCAAAAAAAACCTCACAGTAAAAAACACCTGACACCGTGGCCTTCACAGGGGTTGGCTCAGATTGAGGAAGTTTGACCCGCTTTGGAGCGTGCTCTAGTTTGCAACAACCCGTGACTTCATCCAGTCCAGACTGGCAGGTAGGCTGGGAGAGAGAGAAAGAAAAGAGAAGGTTATTCCAGCAGTTGATGTCTATAAAAAAAAAGGAGCTTTAAAGAGTTGACTCATTCACAATAAAGAAAGAGAGAAAGTGAGTGAGTGTGAGGTGTGTTAGACTCACCCCTCTCCTGTCAGGGCGCAACAGGCTTGGACATGCCAGGAGTGTGTTGTGATGGAGTCAAGCGTGAGGCACTGGGAGATCTCTGCCGCCGTCATCGAGCCCTTCATGTCTTGTTTGTTGGCCAGAATGAGAACAGCTGCGTTCTGAAGGTCCTAGAAGATGGGTCAGAGATTAAGCTTTCGATACCAGTTCACATTTATAGAACTGACAACATTTTCCATTGGAAACCCCACGTAAATGTCCTTCACGTCAACATTTGAGAACAAGCAACCTCAGCGGGATATTTAGACACATGTCAACACGGTGACTCACGCAGACTGAGCTGAAACTTCCTCATCACGTTGTGTCATGGGTTTATGAAAAGAAAAAAACCTATGTCGCAGTTCCTCACTCTGGGTGTATCTCAGACATCTAAAGCGTGAATAGCAGACTTGGGCCGAACAACAAAAGGGTTTTTACGTCAAAGGCCGCTTTCTATTTCTATTTCTATTTCTATAGCTGATTCTAATTAAGACATAAAACCAAATCCTGCAGTAATCTGATCTAAAGTCAAGTGATTTGTGGTAAAATAAAAAGTTAAATCTGGATCATAGGGGCTATAACTCTTATAACTATAACACACACATCTCTCAATGTTTAGTACCTCATGTAAGAGCATTCGGTGCAGCTCTTCTTTGGTCAGAGTGAGACGTTCACGGTCGGTGCTGTCCACAACCAGGATGACAATCTGAAAGAGCCACATAATTAAAGCAGTTATTAGCAGATTATCAGAGCCCAGGTTATCAGTCACTGCTGTTATGATAAGAGGGGCACATACAGACAGATATACATGTAATATAAATGATTATGCAACAGTGATAAGTAGCTTTATAATTACAGGGAGCAGGGCTGGATAATAAGAAGCCAATGTGGGTTAATGTGCACATTCTGTTTCTGTTTCTGTCTTCTTTAATATCAAAGTGCACGACTACTATCAACCATCATTTATGTATTACATTTTAAATGATCAATGCGAGGAAGCAGGATTTTCTTGTGTTTTTTTTTGGGGGGGGGGACAAAAGACAAAGAAACCTCTGCTAAACTGAAACTCAAATGTGCAGACTGGGTACTTCAGATAAAAGCATCTGCAGTCATGTTTCTGTTGTGTTCCAGTGAGGAGCTGAAGACTATAAGGCAGTGATCCATACCTCTGTGTTGCAGTAGTAAGAGTACCAGCTGGCTCGAAGGCTCTCCTGTCCTCCGATATCCCAAACCAAGAAGTGTGTGTTGCGGACGGTGATCTGCTCAACGTTGCTGCCGATGGTTGGAGATGTGTGGACGGCTTCTTTTGTCAAACTGGGCAAGTTTTAAGTTGGAAAACAAACATTTAAAATACAGATTTTTTAGTTTTATAATGACACAATTGTAGCTTCCATAAAAGTCACTTACAACTGATAGAGGATGGTTGTCTTCCCAGCATTGTCCAAACCCACAATAATGACTTTGTGCTCTGTAGGAAAGTCCAAAAAAGAGAAGTTACATTTAACCTGCACAGTGCAAACTGGATTTTGTAGGCATCATCATTTGAACACACTGTAATCTGGAGTTGCATAATTAGTTTCAATGCATTGCAAGACAGTGTACACACACACACACACACACACACACACACACACACACACACACACACACACACACACACACACACAGATAAGATAAAGACAGGTACAGGACTGTGATGTCCTGAGCAGAATTACATTCCCTGTCCACAGTGTGGTTATTACATCACTGCAGAGCAATAACAACCAGTGCAACAGTGTCAGGTACACACAGTGTCTGTCAGAGAAAGCTGAGGTTGACAGATTTACTGTCAGAATAAAAGCATGTTAATATGTAAAGTGATAAATAAAGAATATTAAAGGTTGGTGAGTGAGACTTTACATTAACATTATCATAACATATATGTGATTAAATAGCAGCTGACAAACAACATTAATTATGAAACTTTTATTATGAAAACTGTGTGTGAAATCACTGATAACATCTTACCTCTGTCACCGAACACAGCCATCATCTTGGTGAGAAGAAAGCCCATGTCAATAATAAAATGTCCAACAAGTGTGAACGCCACAGAGATCCAATTTAAAAAAGCTCCTGCTGGAACAAAACTTCAGTATCTGTGGGACGAACTCAGCTCCTCCATCTGATATCAGTTTCTGCCTCAGTGGGTGGCGCTTCTTAGAAAGAAAGTGTTTGGTATTTTTTAGACAGTGAGTCACTGGCAGAGGGTATAGTAATGGTGCGTTCAGGTGGTGTAGGATATCTACGCTCCTGGGGGGGACCATCAAGATAGTAAACACAATATATCCTCCCTTCGTGGGGACATTTTTGGAGGATGTAGTTTGATGTAGACTGTATTAATGAGCGTAATCTAATAGATATAAATGGGATCAGACACAACCGCAATAGAGATTATTGACCAAACAGAGCCATACTCAACAAAAGTCATATAAATTAAGTTTTTAAAACAGTTTGTCGACTTCTATGTTGCAATATTTCATATTTAGTGAATGGGATTAAATGCTGTATTAATGTTTTATGGTAAAAGTGCTAAATAGGTTTGTTTTGTTGTTTAAAGTTAGTCTATAGAGTCCCAAATGTAGAACTGAAACTCTAAACAAACTCTTTAAAACAAATAAACTGGCCACAACAACCCTATTTTTATTCTGATAAAGGTTTATTAAAATCAGTAAAAGACTAAAAAGACTTAAAGTGTCGATTATGATCAATTGAGAAATATAAAAATGCGTTTTAATGCTCTTCAGTGATACCATACCTGTTATTTACATCCTCACTCTATGAATTGGGTTGTCTTTTATGGGATTTTCAATTAGTTTTTTTCTAACAATATCCCTAAAAGTACAGGCTATCAGATCTATCAGGTCCAAACAAACGAAAAACAAACCAAACCACCAGCTATGAGGTTCTTCTTATATTTATATTTCCATTTATATACCTATACGTACATTTATGTTCTATAAATTGTGTTAAATATTGTAATATAAGTATTGTTTCTATTCCTTTAACATTGTGTGAGTAGAACAACTGTACTGTAACTGCAACTTCTGACTGAGTGCATCCAATAAAGCGAGACAATCACAGAGAAGTCGGACTTTAATCAGGAGCACCTGAAGGCAACATACAACACAGGCGTCACTTCTGTCACACCGACGGAAGGAGTGGACAGAATGACGCACATGTCCGCTCCATATAAGTAAAGGGAAGTAAAACCGTGTTCCTTCCTTCTTCTGTATCACCAGAACTTTATTATGAGCCAACAGAAAGTAAAACCTGGTTACCAGGAATCCCCTGAAGTTTCCACTGGAGACTCTGTTCAGGTATTTCCAAAGTGATTCTAAAAACACAGTTTATTAATTATAATAATAACAACAATAATAACGACTTGTATGCATATTAAGGACCTCATAATATATTAATTCCCTGTTAATCCTCAATGGTTTGCTGACTCAGCTGTATCATATTGACTGACTCTCTCTGTTGGGGCCTTTTTTTCCAGGTGTCCCGTGTTATTACTCGTACAACTACCAGGTGTTCCAGTCATTTAAGGTTATTAACTGTTTAACATCTTCCCCAAAATATAATGCTTTTGTTTGTGTCTCTTCATTTTCACTTTATCTATAAAAACTTCCTCCAAACTAACTGTGTTCTGGATGTAAACGGTAATGAACAAAGATCTAAACATCTGTTTTCAGTCTCAGTCTTTTTCTATGACTTTGTATATCTTATATTTTTGAAATTATGACCAATTTTACTTGAGTTTTAAGGTTTTACGATCATGTTTTTGCCCTTTAAAATACTCAGTTCTAATTTAAAATGTATTAATCAATATATTTTTAAGTAAATGTGAGATGTATTTGTTTAAGTGAGGAAAAGTTCTATATTTACTGTACTTTACCTATAGTATACCTAGTATTTCCATTTTGCTACTTTATACATCTACTCCACAGCATTTCAATGGGAATACTACAACCCCACTACATTAATTTAACACCCACAGTTCCTGTGTACTTTACAGAGCCTTTAAATTATTATTAATTATAGTAAAACTGTAGTAGAAAATAGAAAATTAGCAGTACTTTGATTAGCGATTACAGTAATATGTTGCTTACATGCTTCTGTAATAATAATCCATTAATGTAATATATTTGATTAAACACTCCCTAAAGCATGATTTTTTATACTTTTAAGTTCATTTTATAGACACTTTTATCCTCTTAAGTAAAAGATTAACAGGTAAATTTACACTACGGTACTAATACTTACATTTAACATATAAATACTTCTTCCAGCACTGAACTAGAGAGCTCATAAACTAAATGTAAGTTTACATTGCAGTGAACTCTTGTTAAATAACACTGATGCAAAAGGCTCACGTTCTGAGTTTCAGGTGGAAACCACATCTTCCTTTGTGCCATTTCCTCCACTGCAGAGCATCAGCGAGGTGTAGAAGATGAGATGACAAACTGAAGTGAGAAATAAAAAAAACAAAAGCAACAACCCACATCCTGGATTCAACTGTGCTTTAACCGAAACACTCAGCAGGTGTGATCACATGCTGCTGCTACTATCTGTGACAGGTCTTTTGGGAGTTCAGTGTTCCTGTCAGGCACAATATAAAGCGACGAAGGTCTGAGTACACTGGGAATGTGCAGGTACATTACTGGAGAACCTTGACCGGACAGGTTAGACAGTTATAATAGATGCTACATAATTATATAATCATCCTTAACCTGATAATGAGGATGTGTTTTGAGCTCAGGAGGAAGAATTAAAAAGCTTCTGCTGAACAATTTAAAATCTCTTTATATGTCCTGAGAGCAGAGTTGGGAGGGCTCCTTTAATAATCCAATACAATAACTAATTATCTGTTAAGGAATGTAGTGTAATCCAATTATTACAATATTAAAATAACGTCACTTGATTGCTTTCGGTTACTTTTGGTTTATATGCCAATAAAGACAAGATAAACAGCAATTAAAATGAGTTTTATCTTTTCTATAAGACAAAAGAACAATGTTACCTATCCTGCTATTAATCCCCATTATTACTAAATGTAACAGTAATCTGATTACGTCTTTTTAATGTATAAGTTACCTTTTTTATTACGTAACTCGGCTGTTAGTCATGTAATCTGTAACTCCCCAAATCCTGCCTGAGAGATATTAAAAACACCACTGAATGAATATTCGTGTGTACAAATACAAAGTCCCTGAGATCTGTCTGCGTGATGATGATCACACCTCGCTGTATCAATTAAGTGACACAATGGCATTTTCTGATTAAATTTTTAATTAAAATACGAATTTATCCACAGATTAAAAATGAAAGGCAGAAAAAGCAAAATGTAGCTACAGTCAGGCACCAATGATACATGTTATTTCATATTTTTAACAATTGCGATAACGCAACAATAACATTATTTACTGATCATTATTTAATATTTATTTATTCAACTGAAGACGGGCGGGGCAATAAGCAGCCCACCAAAGACATTCATGGATTCTCCATTATAGATAACTGAGTAAAGACCGAAGCTGATCCTATACCCCCCCTCCCACCCGCCACACCCCCACTTGATACTCCTCTCACTACCTCACAAGAACTGAAGATTCAAAATTAAAATAAAAAAAAAAAAAAAGAAAAATTTGCAAATGTCCACAGGAAAAAACAACACTAGTTCAGTCAGAAATCAAGAGTAAGAAGAGAGTGGTATTTAATATCAGACAAGCTAGCTGTTTGGGTGGAAGTTGGGAGTGATTAACCACACACACAAGTACTTTTTTTTTTTTTTATATAACCATTAGCCCTGAAATAAAAACAGACGACGAAGCCAGGTGCAACAAAAAAGAACAAGATGTGCTGGAGCGACAGCGTTTGGGCTCACGGTGCAGAGTAGCCCAGCGAGACACAGGAGAAGACACAGGTATGGTATGAAAACGAGTGTAACAAGAGTTAAGACATCCCACCGTGGCAGTGGTGGACATGGCTTGGCGAGACATTCCGGCACTTGTGATTGGAGTTTTCTTGAAAATAAGGGTGTTTTTTGTTTTTTTTTAAGGTGGGAGTGACTAAGGCAGGGACACTTCATTCACAAATAACTACAACTGTGGTGCTGCTTTGAATCTGCACCACATTAAAAAAAAAAAAAAAAACAGAGAACAAAATGAACAGGACTGGGTCAGACGCGTACAGTCAGATACAGTGGCTGAACCAGGTCAGGGAAGAAGTAAACGTCTTTGGAGTGAACTCTTTGTTGTTATCAGGCTGACACGAGTGTAGCAACATCGATAAATTGTTGTGTTAAACCATGGCAACTTCTCCACCAGCTTGTTGTTGTTGTTTTTTTAAGGTCTCGGTGATAAGAAAGTGGAGGTGAGAGACTCGGGGAACGTCTGGATCTCAGCATGGGAGAAATGACTGAAATCCAACAGCACTGAGTGAGATTAAGGTAAAGAGAAAACCCTGACACTGTACATGGGGGGGACGGTGACATTAGACCCTGTTTAAGACTGCAGAGGACAGACGTGGACGGACTACAGCTCTAACCAGCCTTCGCACTCTACAACTGAAGGAGGGGTTGAGTCATAACAGATCACAATCATAGATTCACAATCGTAACAATTACTGTCCTCGTGCTGTCAGTTTAGAAATCCATGATATTCATGCAGTATTAACATAGGAAACAAAAAAGAACAGACCAATATTATTCTTTCTAAACATAAATAAATTGAATTGCAAGAAGAAGTTGATGAGAATGGCATCTGGCAGTTGATGTGTTTCTTTACATTATACTGGGATGTAAACAGATTCATTTGTTAGCCTGACTGGCATGGACCCAGACCCACACTTCAGTTCCTTCTGAACCCCGAAACCAGACCCTTTCCCCTCCCGCCCTCCCCCTCTCCCTCCCTCCATCCTCAGTCCAGTCGCTTCCTTCCCTCTGCGGTATGATGCGTGTTCAGCGGATGTAGACGTCCCTCCCCCAGTCGTCCTGGTTCTTGTTGCGACTCATGTTGGCCCCCGTGTCCACAGGGTCCTGGCAGTAACGCTCCCTCAGCTTGGCGCGTCCATGCGGCTGCGTCTGGCTCGGCATCGGAGGATGGTTCAGGTTTTCCTGGTCCGGCTCGGCGCCTTCGTCTTCCCAGGAGGCCTGTCTGCCGTGATGCTGCGCCAGGTGGAGGCGGCTGCCCCCGCCCCCTCGGTAGGGCTCAGGCTCTTCGTAGGGGTCAGTCTCAATGTCCATGCAGGAGTCGCCAGCCTCGGTGTAGGCAGAGTCCCGGCTGCCCTGGGTCTCAGAGTCGAAGGTGTCTTGCCGTGACAGGCCCCGCCCGCTCCCTCCCCGTAGCTGACCACGAGACGAGCGCATGTACGTTTGCTGCTGCTGCTGCTGCTGCTGAGGTTTCCCGCCCAGGTCTGTCTGATAGTCATGCAGGGTGCCGCTCCCACCGCACTCGGTCAGAGGCCCTTCCCGCTTCTGCTCACCGTGCACCAGGTACGGACCCTGCAGCCAGCCACGGCCATGCCACACAGCGACCATGCAGAGACACAAACACAAGCAGAGCAAAACCGGACAGTCAGTGGTTAGTCAGCGGGGTTAGCGTGAGGACGGACATTCAACACAGCACATCAAATAAAACACACAACATCATGGACTGAGGTGTTCCAGCAACAGGTTTTGAAAGCATTAGTGTTCAGTCTATTTATAACACACACCCAAGTTTGCACCATGCACACACACACACACACACACACACACATACTCAAAAAATTGCACAGAGCCAACACAAATACAGAAGTTACTCAGTTTAGTCAAACACACGAGCTCTACTGATTCAAATCGTGATACCCACCTGCAAACACACCCAAGCAAGTTATTCAACAAGCAGACTAGAATATCTACCATTACAACAGTGCCACCTTCTGGCAGATTGACCTCATGGCAGAAAAAAAAATGGCAGAAATATCACTACTATATGTGTACGAAATGAATTAAGCAATTTTATTTTTGCGCAAATCAGGAAATACCAACAGATTGATGTGCAGCCGGCTCTTACTCAATCAGAATTGGTTCCCTTTATAATGACAGCCTCCATAAAAATGGCAGAAGGAGGTATGAAACATTTTTCCAGCCATTTGGTGCAATTCTGTCGCCCGGGTGCCATTCTGTCCATGACATAAATATATTTTCCGACAGAATGCATCTCATTATAATTGATGTGTAGCCAGTAGTAACTGAGGAATAAGAGACGCAGCTGATTAGTGCTTTGCTGTTAAAATGGTTATAAAGAGATTAAACCGGACAGGAGTGTTAGCAACAGCCTCCACCAAACTAAGCGTTTCTGTTTGAAGAGGCGGACATGACTTGCTGTTTTCAGGGGCGGTACCATGGCAACACGGAGAGAGGACAGCAAACTGGATTCAGCCTCCCAGAGAAGAAAAAAGTGCTGGAGAAAGGAGGCCACGGAGCTAAAGAGGGAGGGGTGGGGGCAGCAGATATAATTTTACTCTTGATTACAGCGAAATGGAGGCCCCCCTCCGCCCTCGAGCGCAGGTCTGCCTTATGGGTTATTCCTTGAGTCCAGTGTGGTTTGAGTTGAGCTGCTCTCACAGTTAAACAGCGCTAAGATACCGACTACGTAATCTTACTCGTGGGTGTTCTTAAACTAACTGTTCATGTGTGGGAAATTGGCTCCTGATTAGCTCATGCTTGTGTGAAATACCTGCGTGTGTGTTTGTGTGAAGGTTTGTTGTGTATCTATATACAGCATAAACAGGGTTTTAATGCACTTTTCCCTTCAGGGTAAAGAGAGCACGCTGCTGGGTTGAGGTTGAGTTGCCAGAGTCCCACCCCACCCTCACCCCCTTTTCCCCCTTTTCTCTGCTGGACTTCAGAGAGCATGTTCTTCCTCTTTCGCTACAGCACCGTCCATGTCAGGCCACAGATCCATATTCCTGCGCAGGGAGGTGAGCACCTGTACCTGCAGGTTGGAGACGGGCTCAGGGGAGGAGGCCAGGGCCGCCGTGGCCATGGTACGGTTGAGCAGAGGGTTGGGGGGGTTGCTGCTCGGGGGGTGTGTCGCCTTCCAGTACGCCTCCAGGTAGTCAGCAAGGTGCTCGCAGGCGTCCTCCAGCTGGTTCTCGTCCAGGATGATGTCAAACAATTCCTGCACATAAATAAAAAGACAATTCGTTGTTTTTTTTCCCTATTTTTTCTTGTTTTAAAGGTCCAGTGTGAAACATTTAGGAGGATCTACTGACAGAAATGGAATAAAATGTTCATAGGTATGTTTACATTAGTCTATAATCACCTGAAAATAAGAATCATTGTGCTTTTATTACCTCAGAATGAGCTATTTTTATCTACAGAGTGTGTGGCTCCTCTTACACAGAGGCTGCCGTGTTGTTTCTAAAGTAACCCAGAATGGAAACACCAGCTCCAGGTAGGGCCTTTTTTGTTTTTTAAACGTTTTGCAGCCACCGTAGTTTCTCCTGCGCACTTCCAACAGGATGGGTAAGGTGAGAAGATTGTAAACCACCACTACATCCTCCACACTGGACCTTTAACAGACATCCTGGGAACTATCAGTTCTTTTAGTACTCCAGTCACAAAGCCAAACTCACTGGTGGGCACTGGGCCAACTTGTCTGCTGCCACCATCTGCACATTTAGGTGTTTAGCCTGGGACTTGCCCCTAGATTTGATGAGCCTCTGGAGGACCTGCAGGGAGACAACAGCACTTTACTGAAACATCAATTATTCATGGGGATGTGCTCGTGCACTTTGGTATCATGGTAACTCGATTTAGAAAAGCATCCACACTCTTAAATCTGTGCAAAGATCAGTCCGCCAGTGAAGTCAGCACGAGCATGTGTTGTTTTCTCTATTTTTGAGTAATTTTATCATGATGAAAGGAAAGAAGGTACCCAGTGGAGTCGCCCCGTGTTGTGTTTGCGCATAACACAATTCACATCCTGCTGTTGGTTTCACACAATAGTTGCTGGTGATGACACACCAGCAAACAAAGCAAAGCTCCAGAAAAGCAGTGAAGAAGAAGACTGCTAGGGACGCACCAATACCAGTCAGGTCTGATACCGAGCTCAGTGGGCCTCGGATACTGCACCCGATACCTCTTTATGGCATCATGACGTTACGTGACCTCCCGTTAGTTGAGCAGGTACACTTTTACAACAACATTAGCATCATTTAAGTTGTTACAGTCAAAAAGGGTGAGGAACATCTGATGAAAATAAAACAGGTTTGTTCCGTATCGGTATCGGTATTTCCCAAATGTAAATACTTGTAATGTATTTGGTCTGGTGGTGTTAGTGCATCCCTAATGTAAACAATGCAAGATTAAAAACATAGTTCAAAACTGGCGTTGCACATTTAGACTTCCATACTTTTGTTTGTTTCCAAAACAATCTCCACAGGGGCCTTTTTCAAGTTGACATTCAGGCCTAGTTGATTTGACAACACTAACGTTTATTGATGGTATCTGCGAGTGTTGTTTAATACTACAGGTCCCAGATTTGTGGGGGAAACAAAAACTCCTGGAAGAGCTACTTTCTGAGAAATATAACCAAAAAGAGCAGCCAAACAAACTCATGTTGTAAGTGTGGGTATGCAGTTTTAATCCAGGGCAACTAACAATGAAAGCCACTATAAAAAAAAGACATAACAGAATATAAGCACATTGAAATTGCTGAAAAAAGGCCAACACTAAGGTCACCATACCTTAGGTGAAGCTATTTTGATATAGACAATGATGGGAGCCAGGGAGGTCTTCGCCAGCTGAGAGGGGTGGTTGATGGTGTCCGCATCCAGAGCGACCAGCTGGAGGGTGCGGGCCAGCTCAAAGATACGCTCAATCTCACTCTGCACCTCCGCTGAAAGCCCAGGAACAGAGATAAGACACGTAAATACGGGCGAGGCAAGAAAAAAAAAAAAGGATTAATGTCAACTACTTCTACCTTTGAAGAGACACCAGCTGTCTATCAGCCATACTACCTTTACAATGCGCACAACCAAAGTGACCAGCATTTTAGTGCTTAATCATGCATGTCGAAGTTTTAGAAGAAGTAAAAGCGTATGAATTAGGCTGGATCACAGTTGAAGTTCCATTTATGCACAGCTAAATGGAGCAGTGCAGCATCCTCATTCTGTTGCAGCCCCCCGACATTTAGAATTTCCTCAAGTCCTTCTGATCTCTTTCATTACAAAGGTGCGAAGGAAGGAGGTGCATTAAGAATGAGATGCCTGTTGCACTTGTAATAACTAATATACAAGGGCACAATTTCTCACCATGTAAATAAAACAGAAAAAAAAAAAAAAAACACCTTCATCAAACAAATTAAGTGGAACATTAGTTTCTGTTAGCACTAAGAGGCACAGCGGCAATTAATCTATCATGTGAACCACTCAACTCTGTGGACTGCTTGGGTGTTTTGTTTCCATTGTTCCTCAACAACAGCCTATAAATCTTGTTATTTAGCATTTCGAGCACAGTTCCTCCTTCTCCCTTTTTTTATTTTATTTTATCAGCCTGTTGACGTGTAAGGAGAGAGATTAAAACCGGAAACCAGAATGTTCCTCGCCTGTCTGTTCAAACCTCAGCGCCTCCCGAGGTGTGCGTGCTGCCAACCCAGCGGCAGAGAGAGATAGCGAGGGCAAATGCAATCTGCAGAGAGACGGGGCAGGCGCACAATTTAACAGCCTCCAGAGAGCTAAAGGATAGAGAATAAAAGCCGGAGGCATGAAACAGGGCCTCCGCAGAATGATAAGAAATGTGAACTTTAACTCATATAAAGAAATCACAGGCAAGGTTTCCATTAACCTCAACAAAGACCTCGACTTTTTGTAAATTTGGATTTGACTGCGGCGAGAAACTTGCTCTCCCTGCCATGACTAGACAGAGTTTATTAGGCGAGATCCTGCTTCTATACAGTCTATTCTTGGGTACGCACATACGCTGTATAGTACACGGATACGAAAACAGAAGGTCACTAAAGGGCGAGAGCGGTATGGAAAGTATCGGCTTCCCTCTCTGCTCATTCCCGCTCATAGTCTACAACGGGTACCAGCCGCCCTGCTGCCCTCCCACGGATCTCTTCCCGCTTTGGTTTTGTAATTCGTTTCTTTTTGTTACAGACTACAGGCTGTCACACAGAAGTTATGAGGAACAGAGAAACTGACAGGCAAGCAGACAGGCAGACAAACGATGTATGAGCAGATGATGAATATAGTGAGAAGGAAAGGGAAGGGAGGAAGGAGAGAGGCTTCATTGTCTTGTTGCGAGGAGAGCATATACGTACCCAGTACGTCTGAATCAAAAGAGAGTGGTGCAAGAAGATGGGAGGTGGGAGAGAAGGTAGGGGGGGAGGAGGGCAAGGGGGGAGGATGGGTGGGCGAAGGGCAGAAAAGACAGGATGAAGAAAGAGAGAGGAGGCCAGATCAGACTCAGGTAGTCAGAGCAGGTATAAAAAGGGAAAAACTTGACACTTTCAGATCTCTGGATCATGCACCTACATGACCTGTTTCTAAAATATTCATGTGCTTTTTTAAAAATGTTTTTTTTAGTGTCTTAACTCCTGGATCATCTGGAAAAGTCATTTTCCTGCAGTTTTTATGTGTAAATATTTGTACGTCTGACACAATTTCACAATAAATTGCGAACCAAGTCTAAAAGGACATTAAAGAATAGAGCTGGTGGCTGATTCCTCTGTGCCACCGAACTCCATCGTTGTCCAATAACTGTTCAGTGAACAGCGAAACACATCAGAGAGCCGCGCTGTTCCCTTGACACAATGAACCACTGTAGTTTATTTTGAGTCAGTCCCACGTACACCATCCTGCTGCTGCGAATACTCACTAGAGCAACAAATGTATTAATCCACAGTTCAAAATAGTCCCCAACTATCTATCTATCTATCTATCTATCTATCTATCTATCTATCTATCTATCTATCTATCTATCTATCTATCTATCTAAATAAAAAAGAAACACTCAAAGATATGACACACAGATAGTGAAAGGTATTTAAATGGATGTTTAGCAACGTGACACGATGAACAGAAATGTTTTCCACTTGCTTGATCTCCACTGTCTCCGTTTAAGTTATCATCTGTTAAATAACAAAATGAAACTCTAATTGTTGTCTTAACTGTACAGTAAACGACCGTTTCTCAGCGCGGTGTTACTGGATTCTGGTTTGTGCGGATATGAAGTGGCTGTATGCGGCCTTACCCAGGCTGGAGCGGGTACTGGAGCGCTCAATGATGGTGTGTTTGCTGGGGTTGTTGAGGACCGAACGTTTGGCCAGGGAGATGTCCGCTGTCACCCGTGTGATGGATATCCTGAAACGGAGATCCGGAGCATCAGTTGTTACCGGGTTGTAAACAGAAACCACTTAAAAGCAGAGCCCATATGACGGCAGATGCTCCCACACTTACCTGCCCTCAAACTTGTGTTTCAGGAAGTCAAAGAGTGCTTTCTGCATCATGTCTGTCACCTGCAGACGAAAACATCAGGCGTAAGACAACATACCACGGGAGTGAAATTCAATGTAAAACAAGCATTTTTTCCCCCTCCTTACTTCATATCCTTTGAGTGACGGCCCGACGAGGATGATGGGTCTCATGGAGGGGACCACGTCATAGGGCGGGACATGCTCCATCTGAGCCGGAGAAAAAAAAGTCCTGATCAGTTCCACAAAGCTCACACAGCTGTACAGTCACATTGCCTGAACACAAACGCCCTCTCTCCCCTGTCCTCCATCCCCTCTGCGAGCGGCCCGATTGATGGATGGCGAGTTTCAGACGCTGGACTCCCATTTGTTTTATTGACCGCCTATGAATGTTTCGGAGGCAGGGATCAATTTCTCGCTGAAAGCACTCGCCTCTATTTCTTAGTCTGCTGTCTCACATAATTAAAGTGTCCATAATTAAACCAGACGCCAGGGTGTCAGGAGAGCTCTCGTGACTGTGTGCTGCTGCTCTAACACAGACGTCACACTTCGCACTTTTCTCTTTTTGTTATGCATCAGCTCTGTGGTGTGAACTGTCGAGTTCTTGCTGCCAAGAATTGCAGCTTTTTAAAAATCAAATCACTTTTTTTTTACATTTGTGCTGCAGGTTTTTGTTATTTTGAGAAATTCCTTCATATAAATAATAAAATAAATATCTTTCACAACTTTATTTAAGCCATTTGCACTAAACCTGAGTATTTGGCGTTTTAAAATCAGATTTTCACCTGAATTTTTGATTTTTTTTGTCCTATTTTCAGACATTTTAAACACAAACACATTTCTGGAACTGACTATAAAGAGCCCTATACATACTGTAGGCTTTTTTTTTTGTCTATGGCTTTCTTTAAGCCATTTGCACAAAAAAACCTATAAAACAAAGACTTATATAGAACACCCACACAAACACGATCCATATTGCAGCGTGTGAACTTTAGGCTCATTTGTACATTATGAATCATGAATGAGTCATCCATAAGGACACTACAAGCATTTGTCCTCTTCAGAAACAGTCTTTTTTTTCCAGTGAGAATTGGGTGAAAACAGTCACACGTCCTATACTATAGGACTATACTCTAACAACAGTGAAATTGGATGTTTTTTCTTTTTCTTTTTATATCTGTATTCCAAGCACGCGCCCTCCTCTGTGTGTGCTGCGCAGCTCTTCAAGCAGGAGATAGCGCTGGAGTGCCCTGCTCCACTACATTACATTACATAAAGCACAGCAACGGAAGCTCATTTCACCTCATTTGTATTCACAGAGGCTAAAAATACATATTTTAAAAGTTTCCAAATGGCTCTTGTCTCTAAAGGGGCAGAGCTGGTGCACTGAACATAACAATAGCGCTCATTGGTTTTGAATAACATGAGTGCAGTGCACAATTTAGTGTGGTGAGTAACAGGGAGGATGGAGTGCATAATATAGATCTGGATGATAGCTCAATATTACGGTTTATTGTCCGTCTATACGATCATATTCTTCTAAAATACTAATGTTTTACTATTGTGGCTCACAGTTGCCATGTTTACAGTAAATGGCAGATACTGTATTTCTTTAAATAAAGCCAAGATACATAAAAATTTAGATTTTATTTGAATATTATTGGATTTTCTTCCAGTTAAACATTAAAAAAACCTTGACTCAAAGGGATGAACGTGAGTTTTACTTTTTAACTAATGATTTAAATGAATATTGTTGACAAATTAGTATTTAGATAAAGCTAGGAGCATTTTCTGTGCATCCAATGTTAAGGTTTATTATCCCTCTATACAATCATATTGCTACAAAATGCTAAGGTTAAGATATTGAAGTCCACATGGGCCATGTTTACATTAAATCCCTATAACATTTTAAGACTTTGTTTCAGGTAAATACTGAAAAACATTGAGAGCAGCAAAACTGATGTAATGCTTTGATAACTACCGTCCATGTCTTTGCTCTGCAGCCTTTAACGTGTGATTCAAATTGTGCTGAAAAGCATAAAAACAGCTGTTTGTGGGCTACTGTCACTCAAATCAGCCGTCATAAATGGAAATGAAAGCATGTCAGGATGTGTTACTGTTACACTCTGACTAACAGGGTCTGGGACGGATCTGCACCTGCATCTGCACATTGACAGCCGTGATACGAGCTCCTGGGAAATGACAGAGCCGTCGGCGTGATTTACAAATGAGCATGCGAGTATTTGAATTTTAACGTGTCCTAGGAAGCATGAAAAGGTGCAATTAAATATTTTGCTACCACCACAATTTACCACGAGAGGGAAAACGTAAGACAAGAGAGGACAAGGAGACGTGAGTGAGAAGTTAAAACGTTAGAGATTAGTGAGAACAAACCACACTCACCGACTTCTGTTTCTGTTTAGCTGGGCCACCTACAGTGTCAATCCACACAAAAAGCCAGAAGAGACAAAAAAAGCACAAAACACAAGAGCACATTTAGTTATTGACAGGTTAGGATTAGGGTTTGGGGGGGGTTATTGATTAAAACACAGTTTACACTGACTGCCTCCGATGTTGCTTTGTATGAATTATAGAATATATTTAATAAAATAGCAGAAGCAGCCTTTGTATCGGTTAGTTCAACGCCTCTCGCAGCTGACAAAGCTCAAAAACAAACATCCAAACATGTCTCTGCGTAACCATCGGTGACCAGAGCCTGAGGAGCCAAACAGGGTTAGATTCAGGAGCTACAGTAGCAGCAGGGACGGTTCAGTTAGTGAGTGATGGAGAAGGGAAGGAGAGATTAGACCTCTCCAGAGGATTAGGGGACAAATGCGGGAGGGGAGGAGGGAGGCTGGCGAGGTAAGAGAGGTGTCCTGGGCCCCTAATGTTACCTTCTTAAAGAAGGGCAGTCGGTGGGTGTTGGCCTGAGGGGATGTTACGCTGCCTGACATGCCCTTGGAGGAGCGAGGGTCACCCTGGAACTCAGGGGGCTCCTCGGCATCCAGGTCGAGGGGGTCAACGTCAAAGGCCACAGTGGACGAGTCCACGTGAGCTGATGAGGTGGGGAAGGGGAGGAGGAAGGGCGGGCAGCGCAGAGATAGGAAGAAGAGAAGGAGAGAGTGAGACAAAGCAAAGTAAAAGAGGATGAGAGCGGAGAGAAAGTAATAGAAGAGGAAAAGCAAAAGGGGAAGAGTACATAGAAGAATGTGAGACGCATCCAGAAAGAGGCATGGAGGAAATTGCAAGAGATGGCATACACGGAGATCAAAAAAGGTGACACAGTATGATTTGAACTGGAAATAACACTGACGAGAGTTTTAAAAAAGAACAACACATCAGATTATCGTGAAGCAAAAGCACAGATGTGGGGCGTAATAACACGAAGGAGAGAGTGAATTCAGTGTGACAACAAAGCAACAAAAGTGTGGATGTGTAAAGGAGAGGCTGCAGAGGGGACCGGAGTGTACAGGAAAGGAGGAATCAAGCTGAGAGGGAAGCTCGGAGGGGTTCGGAATAAAGTGTGTGTCTGGATTATTGTTGGAGATGCAGGTGTGGTTGGTAGGAGGGGTTGGTGGGCAAGGCTGGGGGAGGTTTCGTTTTAAAGGAATTGTTAAGGGGGAGGTATGGGGACATCTTCGCTTTCTTGCCTAGAGTTGAGAGACTGATACCACCTTAACAACTGCCTGTTAAGTATGAGCCTACAGCCAGCAGCCGGTTATCTTAGCACAAGGACTGGAAACAGGGGGGGGGGCTGGGGGCTACGAGCATCACTAAAGCTCACCGATGAACACATTATATCACATTAATCTGTACAGAAACCAAAGTGTATAAGGAAATAATTCGGCACAAGTTTTTACACTTTTTATACAGATTAAACCAGATGTAATTTAATGAGCTTTAGTGTTGCATTTTTTTTCCTGTTTCCCTGTTTCCAGTCTTTGTGCTAAGCTAATGTAAGCTAACAGACAGATATGAGAGTGGTCACGACAACAGGAGGCGAATAAGCGTATTTTTCCCCCCAACGAGGTGTATTACACAGATGTGGTTTCTGTTATACAGGTATTCAGTTCAGGTCAGTGCTTCTATTTGTTGAACAAAAAACCCTCAGAGTCAATCAGAGTTGTTTATTTTTCCCACGTTTGCACTTTCCTCTCTCCCGCTGTTTCTCTCGGATATCGAGCAGGCAGTTCTTTGTCGTCCTGGCGATGCGCACACACACACAAGCCAGACATACTTATCAAGTTTAATGAGCACGGTCCATCCTTGGCTCTATTTCAGTCTTGTCCTGTGTGCTAATGACAGACCTCCAAAGACCTCTCTCACTTCATACAGCAACCCACTGAGACGCGCCATGATTCATCATCATGCCTGACTAACTAGCCAATTAAAATCTTCATCTAAATATCAGGCGCCTGTCTCATCTCGCTCGCTCTGTCAGGATTGCATACGCACTCATACACACCCACGCCCGCGCAAACACACACAAAGTCACAATTTTGCCAGTTGTTAAGGAGACCCCGTTGACCTCACCTGTGCCGGGTGGGGTGGGCCTGCGCGTTCCCGTGGCAACGTCAAGACTGGAGCTTCCTCCAGATTTACTGTGTAATGGAGAAAAACAGGCACAAATGACTGCCTGGTAAAAGACAGAGGATACAGTAGCTCCACAATACTCCTACTTAAATCATCTTTTGACTCCCAAAATAGCAGTTTAAACTGATTTTACCTATATCTTATCCAATATTTTATGCAATAAGCAGGCAATAGTTAGGTTTCCTCCTGCAAGAGGACACTCATCTTCATTATTTACAGTAAACTAGGAGCTGCTTTTGGAAATAACAATATTAAACAATATTAAGAGCGCTTATACTACAAATTGTATATTAAAATCTGATCATTATGGCATTAATACAATTTCGAATAGTCGAAATAAACAGATGCATTCCTTTATTTAAAAAACAAACAAACCTATAACCTGTAGAAAGAGACCCCAGAGACATATACATACACACTGTAGTTACACAGAGGAATACAGTGTCTCACCGCACCGCTTCTGTCTATTTTAGGAAGTTTTACATTGTCTGTTGTGACTCAGGTCTGACCTGTTTTCAGAAAGTGGGGGTTGTCATTTGTGATGCTGATGCTTTATTTGCAGAGAGAACTTTAATGGTTACCTGGAGCTGAGTCGGTTCTGTCTCATCCTCTGCTCCTGCAGCAGGCGGGTGTTCTCCAGCTTGACCGGGCTGGGGATGAAGCCCACCTCACAGCCCTCCTTCACCAGACGTCCGATCCACCAGTCATTGTTGTACTTCTGCATATAGACAACCAGCAGCATTTTATTATGTTGAATGTTGAACACTTTCAGAAAAAGGCAGCACTGAATTGTATCTGTTATAGCCCATCGTGTACAATAAGCCACAGACTTTCTTGTGAGATCATTTTTATGCCTTTATGATGTTTGTGAGCTACAAAAGTACAATTATGAACTCCAGGTGACCAAAACCAAAAAGTTTAAGCGCTACTTTTATTTGACAGCAGCCATTTTAACATGAAACAGCAGAGGTGTGGACTCAAATTTCATGACTTGACAAGATCAAAAAAGACTTAAAAATACTTGATAACTTCCCCAAAGTTATTTAAAGAGTGTGCCACAGATCAATTAATTTCCCTTCATTTCCTGAACGCTATTCAATCCCAGCAAGTCAACCCTTAATTTTCCAGATCAACTTTGTCTGAACCAATCCGACAGCAATATTATGTTAATGAGTGCGAACAAAAACTATTATTATCATTATTATTAGAGTGCATTATGATTAATTTATGACTCAAAACTCAAAGTTTAGGACTTGAGTGCAAAGTTTTGAGACCTACTGATGACTTGCAAAGGCTCCAAGCCCCACCATTGGTCCTCCCCCCCCCCACTTCACCTTCCAGGAGCCTCAGTCAGTTTGCTACCTGAAGGGATTTACTTGACGTTCGTACCTCTTTAATGTGCAAGAAGTCTTTGGCTTCGAAAGATATGGCCATGCCCTGCACAGGAACGTCATCGCTGGGGCCAGGGTTGTAACCCACATTTGTCCGCACAGCAAACGCCACCGGTTTGGTCTGGAGGAGTGAGGGGGAATAACAGATATTAGTATACAGACGGCGCCTCACCAGAAACACCTAACACGGAGTTCAGTGTCCCCTTGACACTGAGGAAGAGCTTTACCAGAGTCAAAACACTCAACGCTGATGTGAAAATTATGCAGCAATGATGACTATTAAACGAACACTGTGCATAACGGACGGATATACAGCAGTTTATCTCTGACCTTTGCTTTCTCGAGCGTGGCGAGGGCCTGTCTGTCGGCCTCCTTCCTCAGAGCCTCAGGGTCCTCCTCCAGGGACACGTCTGAGTCCGACGGCCGGCTGGTGTAGGAGTCTGCGGAGCCCTGAAATGCACAGTGGGTTTGCATAAAGGTGAGGAGGGGGTGCAGTGCACTACATGTCCATTAAACAAGCCTTGGAGGTTGCAAAAACAGGAGCAGACTAAAAGAAACTGCAGGTCTAGGATGAAAGTCTGGGCGTCTGGTATGTATATGCTTGAACGTCAACGTTCTACCTTATGAAGAAGGAGGCGTGTGGCTCTGCATTTGCAATTCATTTGTGCTCAAAATGTCAAGACTGCCATGAGAAGAGTAACCTACATAGACACAAAAGGGGCCTTGGCCTTCATACTGCATGAAAGCTGACTCTGTGTAATTTGAGGTGGAGAGGATGCATAACAACAAGCCGACGTTTCCACTCCAGCTGCAGTGAGGCCGAGGTGTTAAATCTTTTTGCACAGGTACAACGCATTCAGCGTGTGGGTGTGTCAAGTAGACACAGAAAGAGGGGGGAAAAAATGGCCTGAGGACTGTTTATAATATTAGGAGGGATATAAATTTCTCATGAAGTGGCTTCAGTTTCCAACACATCCACCACTCATGCATGGTAACTTGACTCTCTTCTGCTGACCCTCTTGCAGACACCCATACCACTATAAAAACCCGAGCCTCCTGCGAGCCTGCGGTGCCGGCCCACTGTACAGTTCAGCAGAGCGGTGCAATGAGGGAGGCAGCCTGAACTTCTGAAAATGTTTTGAGTGTTCAACTTATATAACAATCCCACTTGTTCTGTTCTTGCTGTGTTTTTTTTTTTTTTTTTTTTGAGCTGACAGGCTGCCTGGCGCTTTGTGGGAGGTGCTGACAAGAATGCGGACAGCTGAATGTGCCAGGCAGAAGAAGTGAGTCACTAGGTGTGGGCTTTTTAAAATAGAGGTGAGAATGTGCAAAGATGACATACGCCATATGTAATGATGATGAAAAGATTGTGTAGTCAGACAACACAAAGAGACCGCTCATTCAGAACAACAGAATATCTCTGGACTGTAGTATTGAAACACATGATACCTTAGTGTCACTAATAACAAAACAATACACTTTTTTGGGGGGAATATAAACATATTTGAACCCTTATTTCATTTCAGTAAAGATGCCAAACTGCTTCCTGAATGAGTTAAAAATCTTACCTACATAAAGAAGAAATATATAATGAAAGGAAAGTTACCTACTTACTGATCAGGACTATTGAAGGGGAACTTTTTAAGGGTGTACTTCTGCATATGTGAAAACTACAACTTTGAATATGAAAAGAATCTGGTGGTGTGCAGTTGGAAAGAAGTGAGCTTGCCAGACCTCCGTAGCACACACACCTGAATCTCTCACTAAAGTGTAGATGGACCAGTTGCATTGTGGATAATGTAGGTGCCATGTTTTGACAAGGAAGAAGAATGTGTGGAATAAAAAACGAAATATCTTTTGATTCAAATTGTCCATCATGAGTCCGACAATGGGGAGAAAGTAGGGGATTTAAGCCCTACTCTTGGTTTCTTGCTGTCTTTTGATCTATTTTACATGCTAATGTTTCTTATTTAAAAGATGAAAAGAAATCTGGGATGCCCTTATGGCCTCGTGGTTAAGATGCATTACTATATAACAACGTCCCTGTTTTATTTTGGCAGGGGGAACCTTTGTTGCAAGTCATACTCTCTCTCTCTCTCTCTCTCTCTTTCTCTCTCTCTCCCTCATTCCCTCTGTTTCCTTCCACCATCAAAATACCAAAATAATGGGTCCCTTTTTTAAAATAAAACAAAGATAAAAAGAAATCCTTGGTGCCATTCCTCAAACACAAACCTTTATCAAGAACTTGTGGAGAAAAACATTTAACACCCGAGTGAAACTAAAGGTCTAAATATATCCAGAGAGTCATTTGTTGAAGACTGAAGCATCTGTGTGGTGTGTTAGCGTGTTTACATGTGCATTTATGTATGATTAATGCTCCTCTACGCCTTTGATTACCACCCATGCGTCTCTTTATGATTTGAAATGAAAGGACAAACACAAATGTTGATTCTAGCTCAGCCACCTGTCGTATCGAGGCGCTCTGTGACTTGGCAACAGGCGAACAAATGTAGACACTCCCCTGTTACCAAGGCGATGACAAGCTACTCCACGCATCCTGGGGCATCCACAAACCGTCCCCACTTCCTGTTTCATTTACCCAAACGCAAACACTCGTAAACGGTGCGCCCGCATCCCACTCAAGTAGGAGGCATGATCCTGTGAATGGCATGCAGCATCTAATGAGGACAATAACAGCCGCCCCCACTTACCGGCTCTGAGTCATCTTCTAAACCATACAGGTGCATCCCAACATGGAGCACCGACTAAGTGAAGGTTAACAAACCTTGATGGGGAACCCAAGGGAATGCTTTTAGAGAAAAAAATAAAAGCTGAAATGACGTCTGAAACAGCCTGGGACCAACCAGCTCGCTACAACAGGTCGATGATGCAGCAAAATGTAGAGCGAGAACGAGTGGGAGGGATAGGCGATGACTTATGTGTGTCTGTGAATGCGTGTGTGTGTGTGTGTGTGTGTGTGTGTGGACAAATGCTCGTGTCTCTGAGTCACTCACCCAGTTGATTCACGTCACACAGAATAAAAAGAGTCAGGGAGAGAAGAGAGTGAGAGGGATTGACAGATTCATGAGTCAATACTTTATATAAAGAAATATGTGTATGTGGACGAAGGGGGGGGGGACCGATAACCTCTCTGCACCCTTTCTCCCCCAAAACCCTTTCAGAACATGTCGATAGACTGAGCGAGCGCATTTCCTCCACCTTTTCATTCCTTCTTCTTCTTCTCCTCCTCTCGTGTCAGTGGGTTGTGTCTCTAATTTAGCTGCTTGCTTCACTTCACATACAGCTCCAGTTCAAAATAGCTACAGGCCACCTGATGGCAGAGCTGCTTTCCTATTGGCAGTGCCAGACTGGAGACCCCAGCAGTGTCATAGTAACCATCTCTGCAGCTTATTACAGACAGCCAGTGAGAGCTGCACCAGGAAGGAAATAGAAAGAAGATATAGGAATCAATAGTAAATAAAATACCCTGAAGGGAAATCCGCGACGGGGAAATTGCATAAAAGCTTTTCAACAGGTGATCAATTAAGCATTTTCTCGCACTGTGAGGCCACAGCCTGGTCAATAGGTCTTTTTACAGAGTTTTTTATTTTATACAAAACTTAAACTTCACTGCATTTGGTTGGTAAAATCCAAACTACGCTGCATTGTCACAGACTAAAGGTAAAAAGCAGAAAAGCTCGCAAGAGGTGAGGCTCAGTAATTATACCGAAAGTGAACCGACCGTGCTTCTCCTCCGTTCTCTGCTCGGTGCCACCGTGATGAATTTACACCTCCTTAGCACTGATATTGAATAAATGGAAGGCGGGGGGGGAGCAACAGAGCGGAGGGGGGTAATGGAATAAGGAGCGAGGGCGGGACGGGAAAAGACAAGTGCTTTGAATAATGAGGGTTGAAAAGAGTCACCCTGAAGCAGAGGAATGAGTTAACATTGTTTCTTCTGATTTGCTTTAGGGATATACATAAATGACTGAACCAGCATGAGAACGGCACTGTTTCCTCCTCCTGAAGGTCTTTATGAAACACCGGAAATTATCACCACTGTTTCTTCTTGTTCTAATGTCAGATAACAGGGCAGAGGTCAAAGATTTTAATCTGCTTCTGCCATAAACAACAGGAACACCGCAGCAGGTGTTGTTAGACTTCACAAAGCATGACTAAGAAGTGATTATCATCTGAGAGCACATACTGCGAACCCCTGCCCTGATAATTAAACAGATAAAAATATCTTCATACCTATCAGCTCAGATGATGTGAACATCCCCAAAAAGAAGAAGAAAAGAAAGGGAAAGCAAGGATATTAAATATCCTTTTCCTATTTGCTTTATCTCTGACTCTCCTCAGAGACCAGTCATCAAACATTTCAGAGAAGAGGAAGAACACAACATCTCAGACAGCTGAGAACAAACCAGAATGCATTAGCAGCCGAGCCTCAGCTCCACTGTGCATTCACATCACACCCAGAGTGGGATTAGCTCAGTGAGGGCAGGTACGGGGGAAAAGAAAAGTGGAATAAAAAAAAGGGAGGAAGAAACGGGAGTAAAACGTTTTAACAGAACAAACCTGACGAATCACAAAAGACAGATTTCCTGTCTGAAGCTCATGGCCGGTGGCTGTAAATGGCCATATTCCTTTTTTTTCTGTCACGGCAGCGTCATGGCAACCAGCCGGCCAGTGTGGAGATGACTAGAAAGATGAGTCATGGGCTGAACTCACCAGAAATCCCCATTTTCACAAACAACACAACGAGGAACCACAATAACAAAAATACACTTCAGCAATTAAATTAGGTCAGGGAGATACGGTTGGAATCAATATCACCATATAAACTGTATATATATATATATATACAGTTTATATTTATATATATAAGAGTATCTTTCAGGTGCCTATTTTAGTCATGATTAGAGATGGGTATTTTTTAAAATATTTTGATACTACTGCTAACATAACATCTGAGTTTATGAGTTTATTATCATATTCCAATACTCATCAATAATTCATTCATTAAAAACATGCCAACCTTCTCACCGCATCAGTCATTTAATGTTATCTTAGCACGAGCAGCTGTACAACAACTTTGCCTAAATAAAAAATAAGATTTTAAAAAGGTGATGATCTGATATCTCATCAAAGAGTTTGAATTTGGCCAACTTGATATTTATTTAAGACCTGATTTTATGGATTAGTTGATTTACTGTATGTTGATACTCAATACCCAGCCTAGGTTATGATATCTAATGTGAAGAAATTGGTGATCAATGCCTCAAACTTTGTTGAACTGAACTTCAACAACTCATTTTGTTTAATTTTAAAGTTCCAGCTTCTCAAACGTGAGGATTTGCCGCTTTCCTCTGTTTTATGTGAGTATAAACTGTTAACATATCAACAAGCAATTTTTTGGCTGGGAATTTCCCGGTGCTGGATATTTT